ATGTCATTTCTATGCTCAGTGGATCTACGCTCAGCGGATTACCCTCACCCTGAGGCATAGTCCTACTCGGCTCGGGGTTAATGGCAGTAATGTGGAATCCCCACGTGCGTGCAAATACATCGCGAGCGGCTTCATCCACCATGTCGACTCTAGGGCAATTCTCCATCCAGTACAGGCCATGGTTGTGCGGACAGCCACGCCCTTGCCATTCATACCGATCCCAGTAATCCGTAATGTTGAACTTCTTGCTTAACACGATATCTCGAAAGAAGCAGTATCGGCGGTAGAAATGGAAAGCAGCAATATGAGGATTCTGACGCAAAGGTTGGCGCGAGAGACCCATCCTCTCGGACTCGGACGCAGCCAGCCATTCATCATATCGGGGCATGTGCTGGTAGAGAATCCGCCAGTGTAAATCTGCCGGGCTGAATGTGATGAATGCACCAGGACATCCAAGATTGTAGGCATAGGCCTCGAGGTCCTGCCTCTTCCTGTTCCAGAAGGGGCGCGTGCCGCGAATAGGTACCGCATGTCTTGTGATTGAGTTGATTAGCACCTGCACCTCAGGGTCCTCGCTGTGCTCCAGTGCCTGAACAAGCTGCTCCCGTGTGAGCGGTTCATGACTACCATCGTGTTGCTTCACGAAGTATTTGGACCGTGCACGGGCCTGTGACCGCATCAGAGTATTGAAGGCGACGAAGCGGAAGGTCGGGTGGCGTGCAAAACGCCCGTCATGCCAGCGCATCGCGTGCTCGATGTAGTCCTTGTAGTCAATTGACCGTAGCCGAGAATCAACAAAGTCGGCTCTCCCGTCAGGAAAGAGGCAGGGAAAAGCTAAGGAGAGTAGGGCATGAGAGCGATTGAACTCATTAATGGGTGTGCGCCGTATATTCGGAAGCTGCAGCTCGTGCTGCACCTGCTCCTGGAAGCTTGTGGAAAGCCTTGGTTCAGCTTCTGGTTCTCCGGCAAGAATAGACCGCAGAGCATCGAGCTCCGTGTCCTTGGCCAAAAGGTCCGGCACCGCAGCCTCGTCCTCCAGGTCCGGTTCTACCTCCTCATCTTCCTCGGGTCCAACTTCGGCAGCCTCCACCTGGCTGTGGGGGATGTCGTCCAGGACATTGCCATCTTGAGGCAATTGACTCAGCCGCTCTTCGTCGATGACGATGCATCGATAGCCAGGATGATGGCGCCGGAGGTAGTTAAGTACTTGGCGGTTACATATATCTGATACAGTCCTAAGACTAGGAGTTATTGCTGACACCTACAATGCCGCGTCGCGGTATCATCTCTTTAGCTGCGGAATAGCGCGTGGAGACTCCTATGCCGTGCAATTTTTCTAGGTAAGCGAGTGTCCACGAGCTATTTCGTAGCTAAAGAGATAAAAAGCAACGACTTGCCCTATTATAAGGTCCTGATATCTGTGTCACGTTATGAGACTCATTGTTAACTAAGCTTCCTTTACAAAATTATTATTGTTCTCCTTTTTTCTTTTTCTCCTAAACTCTAGAAACTCAAGATATTTAATACTTTCGGAATACTGCTGCCTCCAGGCAGCAGTATGACGACTACTGTTGCCACTTGCCACTCTGGTGGCAAAAAGCTTGCGTGTTTCAATCAACAGAGACAGTGTTATCCGACAATCTGACACTATTATATACGACAGACTTCACCAAAAATTTGGTAGTACAAAACTCTCCTGGAGCCTGCTAATTAGTAGTAGTGGACGACCCACTACTATGAGTGTTAAGATAAGTGTCCCGACTATTTACTCGAAAGTAGGCGCGGCCTTGGCCGAGTGATTTTGTGTGTTGGCCCCGACCAGCACTTTTCATATGGCTTGTAATAGCCTGAGGGCCAAGCGGTAGCAGATGGGTTGTTTCTGAGTCCTCCGGCCTGAAGACAGGAAAGTTGGCGTTATTATAACATCAAAAGCCGCACCAGTGTAGCAGTCCGCAGGTACCAAGTCATTGGCATCTAGCGGGCGTGGCCTCTCTGTCTTGGCTGTCTAGGGGCCTCCCTCGAGATATTAACGGTAGTAGAAACAAGTTCGGGTTTGTCTGGTACTAAATATATTGAGACCGTCCCTGGTTGACTCGGTTTCGGGGTCTATCAGCCCCTATGCAACTACAGCCTGCCGGCCACGTCTAGCCCCCTTTAGCTATGTATCCACCTTTATTCCTAGTATTATGCTGACTCAATATCAAACTCTACAGGGCAAGGTTTTATGTATATTATATTGTGCAATTTAATTTGATGTGAAATTTGCACCAAATTGCGCTCTCCTGTTCCAGCGAGAAGCAATAAAGGCGAGCTGTTTTCTAAAAAGCTAGGTAGAACGCTTTTAATCCACTTATATTACTCCTATCTTATTATTCCAATTTAGTATCTTATTCTCCAAGAGATTATCCACAATGAAGAAGAGTATCCTTATACTTGCAACTATTACTAGACTAGCTCTAGCGCAAGTACAGGGAAACAAACCAAAACTTTCAAAGCCTCGTGTTCTTTATGGTAACTTAGAGGACGGTAAACCACTAGTACGCAGGCTCCTATTAATATTTCTAGCCTTCCACCCCCCTTATATCTCTTATCATTTAAGAATATATTTTATATACAGAAAACTAATTGTCTTTGTTATAATAGCCAGTCCCTGTTTTTATAGAAGTAACTAAAGATCTTGATACGTCTTGCGATCCTGTCCTTGACGATGTAAGGATACTTAGTGTGCCCTTGCCGAGAATCTTTATAACTAATAGGATAATAGAGTAATGGGGCTTTTTGTAACGACTGTTGCACGGAAGGTCCAATAAGGGTCTTCGACGTGTAACGTTAGGTTCCCAAGGGATAAACTAGTCGTAGTTTATGTTGGCAGAGCCACTAGGGCAGTCAATCTGAGCAGTTGGGTGTTACGTTGGTGATAGGTCGTAGACCGTAATTAAATGATCAGAGTCAAAGAGTTGTAAGCGAAGCTTAGGTCAATGTAATGATCGTTGGTGTGTTGAAAGCTAAGGAGCTAGAGTCTATCTATGAAGCGAATTTGGGGGTCCCTATATACTACGCTGTTCACTCCCAGTTCATGCGATCCTCGAGTGAACTGGTGTTGCAGTGTCATGGGTAGTTCACTTACACTGGTCGTGAACACCCCATGTCCACCGTAGCGCTCCGACCATTAATCCGTTGGCTGCCTGTGCCTGTACCGTCCAGCGGCTCATGCAGCCGGCCCAACCTGCGACCTGCGCTGCAGCCTGTGACTGGGTCGTAACAATTTTATTCGGTGTACTGTTCGGGAAGCTTTTTTCCCCGTAAGTTATCCATTAGGATAATTGATTGATAACACTCTTAGTTATATATTAACTAATTTAAATTGGGTTTGTAGGACTCACAAGTAAGATACCCTATGCTATTTATTAAGTAGTCTCGTTATAAGCAGTTTAACGATTATCACATTATAGCCTTCGAATAACCTAGCTGCTTTGAGCAACCAGCATGGTGTAAGTTATATTTCCTTTCTGAAGTAAGCACGAAAATAATAAAATTGCTAAGATAATTTACATTATCTAGTTCAAAACTTGCAAGAATGTTTCTTCTATTAAGCAGGGTGGCGTCATTGTAAGTATCTTCTATTACTAAAAACTCAAAGTACTAGTCATCTAATAGATAGGTCGATAATAGTGCCCGTGCCGCCCCTCAGAATAGCCGCATCGCCTTCCCGGATGACCCTATCTTGTCAAAGAACCACCAAAGCTAGGTTCTCGCTCCTAGTATAGTAAAGTCGCAATATAGTGGAGGCAGGTTTGAGATGAGAGCAACGACGCGTGTGGAGAGTGTCGAATGTTGTTTTTTGGGTCAAATTCTGTAACGGGCTGGGCCTGTTGGCGCCTTAAAGTAGGCATGAGACGTACTAGCTAGTCTTCAATGGTAATCACATGCACGTACATAATTCCACTTACTAGTAGGCCTCGCAGAACGCGACCGACGAAGCTGTCGCGTCCATGCTCTCACGGTTACCCCCCGAGCAGTTCTTCATGTAAATTCCTCTAACTACAGCAGATATTCGCCTTAGCTGCTATTTATCTGTTAGTATTAATACCTGTTAGAGGCATTATAATACTCGTTGAGGTTTTTGTCTGGTAACGTGTTCCCTTGCAGTTAATCACACCTGGTTTTTTCGTGGGCACTGTTATGGACTTGGGCTAGAGCCCAAGTAAAAGCATGTGGACATTGGCCAGTATAGTGTCAATTGAGCGTGCTGTGCAGCTAGTTCAATACGTATTGACCAGACCAGATTGACCCTTTTGACTCAATGGTCAACTGGGTCGGGCGCAGCGCGGAGGTCTGTGCTGTCACTCACGATAGCCCGCTGGGCTAGACCGTCACAAATCTGACTTGTGCTTTCATGTTGCGATGGGAGACAAAATGGTAAGCCCACCATATCAGAACATTGGCTATCCTTGTTGTCGAAGTCGGAGAATTAGGCTATTGGGGAGAATCGCATCAAAGGCCCCTTTGACATCCATTGTGACGAGTGGCAACCTTGCACCGCCGTTCAATGTTTCCTAACATTAAAGGCACCAGCTGGACGTCGACGGTGCATTCAGTGTTGCCGCCTGCATGTGGTGACCAGTGACCTTTCGCCCCCCCGGCACCAGACCGCTCTTACAGGGTACAGGCACCAGTTGACCTCTGTTACGGTGGCCCGCACGGTGCTCGCACCGCTACAGTTCCCCATAAAGCACCTCAAGTGCTAGCACTGAGTGCCACCACTGAAGTCTGGTGGCCGCACGTGCTAGCATTATGTGCCCCCAGGTGCCGTGTCATGCTCGTCTGCATGTGACCATTGATGGCAAGGTCTCTAGCATTCGTCTCCCAACCCTCGTTTCACACTTTAAACGTGGTCTGAATATCCGACGTCTGAATAACCCGCCTACTTTCGCTTCGACGGCAATGGCAGTAATACTGAAAGCTGTTTGTCAAGGCAAAAATTCCGCTGATTTCGACCAATGTCCAGAGACGCAAGACACCTCGATGCAGCGCATGGAAACCTTGCCATCAACAACACTCGCATCCGCCGCTTCCTTACTCTTGTTGCCCTCAAGACGACCGCACGGTTTTTTCGTCGCCAAGGCGCTTGCGTTCCCATTTCGAGGCGCTTAATCGTCAAGTCGGATGCCTTTGTCGACTTGACAGAAGGAGCAACAATGAGATTTGTCTCCAACAACACCTCCGTCCCTCTACCCAAGGTCTGGTGCTCCTTTATACGCAATGGACGCGTATACCTTGTCATGGAGAGAATACGAGGCGATTGCATCGCGAAAGGATGGGATGAACGATACAAAGAATCCAAGGACAAGCTCTTGTCGCAGCTGAAGCTCATGGTGGAAGAAATTCGTTCGCTTCAGCCTCGCCCTGACGCGGGGGTCGAGAGCTGCATTGGCGGGTCGTTATTCGATAGTCGTATGCCCCGTCCAGATCGCCGCTTCGGCCCTTTCCAAACCATACAAGAATTTCACCTGTGGCTGAGGGGCAACTTGCGGCCCTCGGAAGCCGAGAAGCCTGAGCAGGCGGCTGAACAAGATTGGAAGGCCGTGAAGGACATGGCCGCTCGACAGGACGGGCCTTGGCCTCGGCCAGTCTTCACGCACGGTGATTTGAACCCATGCAATATAATTGTCCGAGGGGATCAAGTGGTTGGCATCATCGACTGGGAATTTTCTGGTTGGTATCCAAATTATTGGGAATATACGTCTGCGTGGTGCACCCAGATATTAAGAACTGAGTGGCAGGATTTACTCAGCAGCTTCCTGGAGCCATTCCCAGACGAGTTGGACATGGAAAGGACTAGGCAGAGGTGGTGGGGAGAGATCTGAGCAAGGTCTAAATCGGCCAACATATCCATTTTGTTTCGAATTACAACCCTCGCCTGATGGCCAAATGCGCAGCCCTGACCTGGTGCTATCCCGCCGTCTGAGGGACGATTGGACTGTACTGTCTGTCTGAAATAACCCAGCAGAATGCTAAGCGCCCAAGGCCCTGATTTATTGGCTCTGCATCCCTCTCATTCGGCCATGGCCTAAAACGGGCCCTGGGTGTCTCAAGCAGCAACGATACCAACCAATTTCAATGGCTCCCGAAGTTCTCAGCTGCGACGGCACTTTGGCTTTCTCTGAGTCGACCCAGGGTCCAAGACTCTTCACAAAGCAAAGCTTCCTTTCTATTATTCATGGATTCTTTGTCTGTTTACCAGTACTGTCAGAGCTCCCTTGAATTGAGAGATCGCGGGCCAGCCAGTGCCTTTCCTCTTTCACTCAGTCACTTTGACAGGTAGTAGGAATGATCTCCAACAAAAAACGTCTTTACGTCGCCCTCTATCCTAGTGGCATCGCGAATAATGAAACGCGAAGGTGAAGAAGCCCCAGCGGCCTGCCCCCCGACTTCTGGATCTAGAAGCTTACACTTGAGTCCGAGAACAGGTACCATTGAGGCTTCCTAGTCGGGCCCAAGGTCGAGGATCAAGACTCGGTCCAAGGTATGCGCTACCACGTTAAAAACCCTATTTCTCAGGGTTGGGTGTACGAGGAAGCGGAGCTACGCGACGTTCGATCCACCAACAACCTACTCGTCCGCATCCTCGTCGCCAAGGTGCTGGATGAGGCGCGCCTCGCAAACATCTTCCGAGCCGTTCCTATTGTGCAAAACGACACCAACTGGAGGTGTCGCACCTGGATTGCAAATGCGGTGGCAGCGGTAAAGCAGGACGGCAGAGCTGTAGGTAGGGCAGTGTTGGATTGGGGGGAAATCGAGCGTGTCGCGAGACGGTTTGCTGGCGAGAAGACGGCCGCCGGTCGCTTTAGGGATGTTAAATTGGCGCTGAAGCCGAAGCCGACGTGGGATATGTTGCAAAACAGGGAGACTGTCTCGTAAAAAGACGCCGAGTAGCTCGGAACCATGGCTGTGAAGCCATGATCGGAACCGACTCATATGGTTCCCACCCAGATAATGATTTGGCGCCGAATGGCCTCTCACCGGCGATGATATTTCATGCCTTGCAGGTATTATCTAAGTCTACAACTGATCAGTTCCCAGCCGCCTCTTAAAATCCGGCCATACTAGATAGTTTATAGGTATGCTCGGAGGACACATCTCACCAGGGCACCAGTTTTTTAAGGGTCAAATGCGGAGGACTCCGTATTCAGCTGCAACTGCAGTACTAAATGAGACATGTCTGTCCCGGACTTTTTAGCGCGCCATCGGGACGGCCTCCGCGTATGTATGACGTTCTGATGTGGAGGCGCCATTGACATCTCAAGCTATGATATAACAGTGACGCCGATGCACGTTGCAACACCTTAAACTACAAAAACGGCCGCATCTTACCCTGTTAAAAGCCACACTTTACGGAAAAAGTGCAAGCTTATTGCTTAGAGAATCCCTTCCATCATGCCCACCACGCGGTCTGGAAAATCTAGCGCTGGAGCGCAGGCGCAGCCAGCTGGGAAGAAGCGGAAAATAGAAACCGGCAACGAAATCAGCCCAAAAGGGAAGAATAAAAAAGATGGCGAGCACAAAAATACTGCTGATTCGACTACAAAGCGCCCACAAAAAGAGACGCATGCAAAGCATGCAGACACCAACACACAAGCACTGTCTCGTGTCTTGGAAAAGGGAGTGCTATACTACTTCATCCGTGATCGGGTTGGCATCGATGAACCCAAGTCCATCGACGACATCGCAAGAGGATATCTCATCCTTCGGCCCATCCCCGACGACGCAAAGCTCCACGGTGCACTCCCCACGTCAGCCACATCCAGGCTTATCGCTTTGCCAAAAAAGATGCTACCGGCAAGCCCAAAAGACAGATTCATGGCGTTTGTCGAAAAATCACACACGTCGTATGACGAACTTGGAAAGACCAAAGGGAGACGTTTACGAGACCAAGACGGTGGGACGGCGCCAATCTCCCGATGCAACGCCCGTAGGGGAAGGCGTGTATGTTCTTACGACCACGGGGCGCGAGAGCTACCTTTCGTACATGGCAACTCTGCCCCATGAACTGGGTGAGCTGCAACATGCGCTGCGATTCAACGACAAGGGAAGTTTCATCATCAGTAGTAAGAACCCGACGTACAAGGGGCCGTCGTTTGCACGGTTGCCAAAGGGACCAGAGTACCCTCCATCGTAAGTGCGCACCGATACTCGAGAGAGCAGGTTCAAGTGCGGCATCTGATAATATCTGGCAGGGTTCTTGACAAGTTTGGGGACTTGCGCTGGGTGGGAGCACAGCCTGAGTTTATGGATTATCCCCGCGCGCAAATCTTGCTGATTGGACACAAGACTGGGCTTGGAAAGGAGGACAAGAAGGCTGAACATGGAGAGGATCCGGTTGAGACGTTGAGTCAGCTGGAAAAGGACGACCTCGACAGGATGCAGCATTTGTCGCCGGATGAGTCGGATGCAATCTATGCGGACTTGCATAGCAGGAAGATGGCGCATCCGGAGATTCAAAGCGACCTTGGCGGCTAGTCTTTCCAACACCGGGACTTTTCGTGATACCTTTTGATCTCACAGTTGTGCTTTGTATTCGTCGTCTTGAGCCGATGCGTGTGCTATTCTCGGTATAGTTCGTCATCCTGATTCGCGTACCCTAGCTACAATTAGTTTTAGGTCTGGACAAATCAAAAGGCAAGTGTGGTGGGCGGTTGGATAGCTGGTAGTAGCCATCCGTCTCTTTTTGCGAATGGTCTCGGTGACTGGAGCGTTCTGTTTGGGCTGGTGGAAGCGACTTGGGTCCTCAGGCACTCAGGCCCACTCACTAAGCGAACAGACGCGATGGATCACGTGGTTCTGTGAGAGGGCCTGAGTGGTTTGCGACGCGTTTTGGTGCGAGTGCGACTATCCGCCATACAAAGTAGGTGACGAAGGTGCGGCTACGCGAACAAAGCTTCAACTGCATCGGCTCCTACGAGGCACAGCGCCCTTGATTCTACACTCTCTATTACAATAAATATATCAATGAGTTCCTACATGCCTCAGCTGTCTTTCAATATATATTTTACTTAATTACCACCCGTTTTTATTGAAGAAATCACTGTCAAGGGTGCCTGGGTCGCGAAAATCTTCAGCGTATGGAGCCGACGACGACGTGTAATTCCACCATTTTCTGAGCGACAGCAACTCCATTGCCTGTAGGGGATCTCCTCAGCTAGTTCAACCTTCGGAGAGCTTTCGACTGGGTGCTCTACCCTCCTATGTTGTGTGATCGACGCAAACGTTGACGCTTAGATCACTCATAAGCCTTAGCGACAGGCTCATGTTCATACATCCTTCATTCCTGACCCAACTGAGTTAGGGTAGATATTTGGCAGGAGCAATCAAATGTGCGGATCGAAAAGTATAGGTGAGATTACCGTCGGTCGTATGTATAACGCGCAATTGAGGTCGAAGGTTGAGGGTGTCGTTGGGTTCAGACCGCGAAGTGGGCAGGTAGAGGCGATACACAGACTCATAGTTGATCAGAAAGAACTGATATTAATTGCACCGACGGGTTGGGGTAAGAGTATCGTCTTTCAGGCAGTTCCGGCCCTACGTGGTGGGATTTGCGTCATGATTATGCCGTTGACGCTCCTAGAAGAGAATCAGGTCAGTTGTCTGCTCTTGATAGCTGCTAGCACGGCTTACCTGATTCATCATATGTAGGCAAGATCGATATCTAGAATACCAGGCTGCAATCCATGTATCCTCAATGCAGAGATGAACTCACTAGCATTGCTGAAAGCATCTGGAAAGGTGCTTTGGAGAAGCTGCGACGGTGAAGGGATGCAGCTCCGCGTATGGCGGATAGTCGCACTCACACCAGGTTCAGGTTCAGGTTCAGGTTCTATTCCTACTCGGTTTCAGCCGCCACTACAGCAGCCATGCCCGGTAAGCAGGTCCTGGCTGACAGCCGAAGCATCCATCCTGTGAACACCCCACTTCGCCTTCCTGTTGAAACAAGGCCAGCCGTCCCCAGGTTTCCTGCCCGCTACTCCATGCTCTACTTTGCTATATACATGTCTTCTGTTGGAGAATCCCATGTGATATCCAGTCTGTTTCATTCCTCAATTTTTCTCGTTTATTTTCTTGAGAGTTTTCTGTTTCACATCCTCATGTTGTGGCTCTGTCGGTGCCCGAGGGCACCATGTAAATGCGACCGTGATACCTGCAGTCTCCCCCAGCCATCGGCTCCATCTGTTTGCTGATCTCCCCCATGCCCCTAGGGATCTGTTCGTGCTCTGTGTTTTGTGCGTTTCTATTTTGTTGCCTCCGACCGGGTTCCTATGTGGCCATGTGTTCGTTCCATCAACGCAACCACTGGCGACGCTGACCATAGCCAGCATCATCCACCTCATGTAGCGCGATGCTCCGCTCGTTTCGACATGATGAATTACTGAGTATGAGAACTCCCACACTACCTCCTCAGACCTGGTTAGCCGAGCGGGAGAAGGGGACCAGTCTTCTACCGCCCTGTTTTTCTGGCGGGGGAGGGGCGACAGTGGGCAAATCTGTCTGGAATCCATGATATTTTGTGGTCTTTCTGTATGGTATGCCAGGAACCTGACGGTTGGATGTGCGGAAGGCGATACCGTTCTGTTCAGCATGTCGGCGTAGCGGGACGTCGCAAACGTTGACGAGAAGATGGGCCGAGCGGCGAAGCACTGAAGACCCATATGCGGCCATGTATTTTGTTTTTTAGAGGGGACAGTAATGTTTGGATTGTTTGGGCTTCGTCGTCGCACTATAGGAGGTGAGTTGTTGCCAGCTGTGGCCGCAGTCGTCGGCGGCAGATGCGTGGTTTTCGTGGCGTGCTCGTGAATTTCGCGCTCCTTTCCCATCCGCCATCGCAACGAGGTCTCTATGGAAGTCAAAACACCGCAGGGGAAGATGTTATGACCCGTTGAGGCACATTGCGATCGCGGGCGGGAGTGTTATGTTCCTCGAGTGGCTGTTGCTTCAAAAATTCGTTCTCGCTGTTCAATCCGTTATCCTTGTGCTCGCACTCCAAAACGCGTCGCAAACCACTCAGGCCCTCTCACAGAACCACGTGATCCATCGCGTCTGTTCGCTTAGTGAGTGGGCCTGAGTGCCTGAGGACCCAAGTCGCTTCCACCAGCCCAAACAGAACGCTCCAGTCACCGAGACCATTCGCAAAAAGAGACGGATGGCTACTACCAGCTATCCAACCGCCCACCACACTTGCCTTTTGATTTGTCCAGACCTAAAACTAATTGTAGCTAGGGTACGCGAATCAGGATGACGAACTATACCGAGAATAGCACACGCATCGGCTCAAGACGACGAATACAAAGCACAACTGTGAGATCAAAAGGTATCACGAAAAGTCCCGGTGTTGGAAAGACTAGCCGCCAAGGTCGCTTTGAATCTCCGGATGCGCCATCTTCCTGCTATGCAAGTCCGCATAGATTGCATCCGACTCATCCGGCGACAAATGCTGCATCCTGTCGAGGTCGTCCTTTTCCAGCTGACTCAACGTCTCAACCGGATCCTCTCCATGTTCAGCCTTCTTGTCCTCCTTTCCAAGCCCAGTCTTGTGTCCAATCAGCAAGATTTGCGCGCGGGGATAATCCATAAACTCAGGCTGTGCTCCCACCCAGCGCAAGTCCCCAAACTTGTCAAGAACCCTGCCAGATATTATCAGATGCCGCACTTGAACCTGCTCTCTCGAGTATCGGTGCGCACTTACGATGGAGGGTACTCTGGTCCCTTTGGCAACCGTGCAAACGACGGCCCCTTGTACGTCGGGTTCTTACTACTGATGATGAAACTTCCCTTGTCGTTGAATCGCAGCGCATGTTGCAGCTCACCCAGTTCATGGGGCAGAGTTGCCATGTACGAAAGGTAGCTCTCGCGCCCCGTGGTCGTAAGAACATACACGCCTTCCCCTACGGGCGTTGCATCGGGAGATTGGCGCCGTCCCACCGTCTTGGTCTCGTAAACGTCTCCCTTTGGTCTTTCCAAGTTCGTCATACGACGTGTGTGATTTTTCGACAAACGCCATGAATCTGTCTTTTGCCGCTCTCTGTATCACGTGCGGCCTGTACCGGGACGCGAGCACTGATTAGGTATAGTGCGACTTGCGTCCCACAATTCACTGGCAATGCGCTGGTGCGGCACCGGGGCCTGACGGTAGAAAGGTCGGGGTGCTGTGGGGTAAGAGACACTCAAACGCGTCCGGCGCATTTCTCTCCAGCTGTCTTGAGATCCCCGTTCGGACCCTTGTATATCCTCTTTGGTCCTGAGTCAGAACAAGGGACCTCTGGAATTATGGCACGCAAGACGAGACAGGGCAACTCCAAAAACCACCAACCTCGACGATTACTTCCGAGTAAGCCCGAAGACCATCAACATGGCCCGGTGCCCCCAACCCCAGCATCGACATCAACGCGGCGCAAACACCCGACCAAATCTGCGTGCTTGGCTTGTCAAAGGCGAAAGTCCAAAGTATGGCAGTGACTCCTCTTTGCAATCTTGCTTGTTGGCTAAGAAACCATATTGATAGTGTAGCGGGGAGCGCCCAACGTGTGCAAGCTGCGCGACCAAAGGCGACACTTGTCTCTACGAAACGGATAGGTCGGGCGAGACACATTTGCAAGCCATCAAGAGGAAATTCGACGAGATGGAAGCGACCAACACCATGTATGAGAAACTTCATGGGCTCCTCCAAGTCGCAAACGAAGCGGATGCAAAACGAGTCTTTGAAAAGATTCGGCGTGGCGTAGACATTGGGAGCATACTTGTCCAGGTCAAGGAAACCAGTACCACGACGCCGCCTGACACAGCGAGCGAAGATTCTCCCAGCCCATGTTTCCAGCAACTGCACTCGTGGAAGTACTGCCGCCCTACTTTGAGGAACCACAGGTTGTCGACTGACACAGACGAGTCCACTATACTGACTCTTCCTCCGCGGCCTCTCGACGCCTACGTGTCTCACTGGCATCAGGACAGGTGGACTCAGATAGGATGGACAAAGGCGCACATACATCACCTCATCGACGCAATTTTTTCTTGGGACTACCTTCCTTTCAGCCTTTTATCCCACGATCTTTTTCTGCAGAGCTTCTATAGCGACTCGAGCCAGTTTTGTTCCTCGGCATTGGTATGCGCCATCCTAGCACTGGCATGTCGCCTGATAAACGAAGACAAGGACGAGCTTGAAGTTCTTCCATCCGGGTGGATTGGGAGCAAAACCTTTTTTTACCAGGCCAATGCAAAGCTGCACAAACACCGGTCCAAAGTCCTTCCGGATATACAAGCAATCGGAATACTCTCGCTCTATCACCTGCGATGTGGACAAGAAGCCAAGGCGCAAGAGTATGCTGAAAATTTCATCGCTAATATTAAAGAGTATCACGACCTCAACTCTTCAGTTCGCAACAAGGGTGAGCAGTACGAGAGAGTGTTGGACATTACCTACTGTGGGGCGGTATCGCTGTCTCGGTATGTGAATAAAAAGAGGCCATGACTTGTGTTGGGGTGGCTATTTGACATGTTTTGCAGCATGTTACTTTTAACCACGGGGCGCGTGTTTACCATCCAACTTTCCACCGCCCAAACACATGTATCCATCTTGAACACGCTACATCCGATTATGCAAACCAGAAACGGCGGTCGTGGGTCTAGTCCAGGTGCGTACTCGAAGACGAGACAAAGTAGTCGAGAGTCTGCTGGGTAACAGGATAGCAGCCTTGACCCCGGGAGGGCGCAACTTGCAGATGCTTGGTATGCAGTTCATCTCGGGCAAGATCTTCCAGTTGACCGAGTGGGTGTACAATTTCATAGCGTTGGCTCGCTCAAACATCCGAAATGGCTCGGGCAACGTGAGGGCCTTCTACAAGAAGTGTCTGGACTGGTACAAGGAGTTGTTTGCCTATGCCGAAAGCGACTGCGGCAGAACGCCGTTTGTATTATTCGCCCAGTAAGCACACGACGCCGGCAAAGGGGCACAGGGACCTAACAATGATGCAGCATATATTACCACTACTGCCTGCTATGTGCTTTCCGGCCCCTCATCGGCAGGGACATGGGAAGCACCGACATCCGGCCATTTATGATATGCAAAGAGACTGCGCAGTCCGTCCTGGCGTTGGCGCAATCCTACGATGACCTTTTTACTCTTCGGCGCGTGTCTGGACTCATGCCTTATTTCGTTTGCACCGCGGGTATGCTTAGTCTTAGTATGGAAACAGAGGGCAGGTCCATGAGCTCGGTGCACCTACGTCTACAGCACAGTGCACAGGAGAATGAAATACTACCCATGGGACAATCTCCAAGTCCGGATGAAGGCAATGTACGCACAGCATCGCCATACATCACAATGTCGGCGACCGACCACGCGCGCCTGCTGCTTACCAAGATGGGCTCCGCGCATCCGGCAGCGAATATTGCCAGGAACCAGCTTCAAGTACCCTGAGGAGTCTGGGTACGGCGTGACATGCGTCCATAGCGAACTCGGCGATGTACTCATCTTGCAAACATTGCCCCTGTCCTCTATGATGGATGAGTTCTCGTCATGGGGCAGGCTTATGGAACTCCCTTCCACCTCTTCTGCAGTGGTGCGATGCGGGAAGCCTGGGGCTCTCACAGAACGTCCCGAAGCACGTTTGGCATGGAAAGCGAGGGTCATTTTTAGCGTTTGGTCCAAATTGGCACCGTTGCTGGCAGACCTTTCATCTTGCATCAATCTCCAAGGTTTTGGCTTCTTGTTGCATGGGCAAGGGGGGACAAAATGTGTTCCAACGCACAGGAAGTATTACTGAACACGACTGAAAGATTGGCGTTGATATCACAGAAATAGAAAACGCTCTAGCTTCGAAATTCATATCAAGAAACTGTGTCAAAATACTCTACACTCAAAAAGGGACGGGTTAGGACCGTACACTGAGAATTTGCGAACCAACCCCCGTTAAAAAAGAAGTAAAAGGAAAAGGAAATAAAAAAGAAGAGAAAAACAGAAACACTCCTCCGACTCCAAGATAAATGCAGTAGATCTTTCTAACAACTCGGCCGTATCCTCCTTCGGAAACATCTACTACAGAGATACATATCCGGCTTCCGTCGGTTTAGCATTTGCGGGTACTCGGGGTAGGAGACGTGCCGGGCGCTGGGTCGAGGTGCGCCAGCGACTCTGTTGGGTCATTTTGCTCGGAGGGGACATGCAAGTGTAATGTTTCTTGCCCTGATAGCTTGCGGCGTCATGTATGACCGAATTGGCTCGTTATCTTTCTGTACCAGGCCCGTCTCATGAGCAATGCTGTGACTGTTTGGCACCAAAGTCGGTGTTGCACGTCTAGTATGCCCCGGAGCCGGCAAAGCACGCGCCGGCGGGGTGTAACTCATCCTACCTTGACATGGAGACGACGGTGTAGTTTCCGTGGCGACGTCGGGGCCGTAAGAATAAGCGGGAGGATCAGCTGGCCGCGGCTCACTTGTCTCGACAGGCGAGCAACTACCAAATGGGGCAATACCAGCTTCCGGGCACGGTAATGGCAGCGGCCCGGTGCCTACTGGGGCCACATACCCAGGAACGTTGGGGCTGGCCCTGATCGCTGGCGGATATGTCGCGGGCATGATGCCTTGGGTGTGCTGATTTTGATACGAAAGCAGTCTCCACTTCTCATCGGTCGTGTTGCCAGAGGCCATGAGGAGATTGGCAGACACCATGACTTTGCCTTGTGGGGTTTTTATCCCATAAAATTCGCTGTTGTCATATGGAAGAGTGGACGGCTTCATGACTATACCGTGTCTTGAAATGAATGCACAAGGGACCATGGTGCTTTGAAGAAACAGGGCTTGGTCAGGTAACCCGTTCTTAAGGCAAGCTAGGGCAGATGATTGTCGTAGTCTATTATTGAAAGGGAAATACATAGAATTGTTCCGTCACCACCTTGTATTTATGTGGTTGGGTGGAGTAGTTTGGATGGATAGCTTCCAGTGTATTCCATCATAATCAACATCCCAAAAACTTGATTACTGCATGAAAGCGACGCTTTGGCCTGAAAACGCCGGAGGCTGGTCCGAGTCCAAGATGCTACTGTTTTGTCGACGGCTCCATCTGGCTATTAAGCCGGGCTCAATGCCGCACTGACAAGTTGTTCAGTTCGCCGTGGCTGCTTTGTTGAGTCCCAACTGACCCGCCAAGGCGGCGGTAGGGAGAGAGAGAGAGAGAGATGACGGAACCCACTGAGCAGATATTATGACATGTCATTCTGGAGAACATCTGTCAGAGCGTATCCCTGGTTCGTACAGCCTACACCATCGCTAAGCCCCTGATGCGGGAACGCTACCTTTTAGGTTTTGGTTGCAACTACTCGGGATGCCTCCAGCACGTCTGATTGGTTTGACCGTGCACAAAGAGACTGCTAGAAACTGAAAAAGTCGAGGGTCTGACTTCATAATGCAGCAACGTCATTTGTCCCTCAGAGATCGCTCCTGAAGCGCAGTAGCCATGACATTGTGACATCACGGATGCTTAAAGTAGTATACCACACGACGAGTGCAGGTATACGATCTTCGCCTATAAACCCCAATAAAGGAAACATGATGCACAAATTGCAGACGGCGATGCTGTGAAGGGAGTTCCAGTCCGTGGGATTCATGTCCATGGTGGACGTCGCAAGCCCTTGGGTGCAGCAATCAGTCACCACCGGGGACACCTCCGACAAGCATGATTGGCCCGACCATCGCAGACCAAAAACTCAACAGGCAAAGGTCCGCATATATGTCGCGTGCGAGACCAGTTCCCGGGGCAGGAGTTGCAGCATCGTGACGTTGCGGATGCTGTCAAGGCAGCACGTTTCCGCGACAATGCCACGGGATGCTTTTCCCCCAACATGGCCATATCAAAGCCTTTGCTAAACATAGTGAAACACTTGTCTGTCCAGGATGTACTTTGTGAGCTTTAGAACTCGGGCAACGTTGTCCGAACCCGGCTGCGGTTATGCGGGGTGAAGTCGTTGCAAAGAACAATATGTGCTGTTCGACTTGGCTCGATCTGTAGCCCCTCTGCAAGGCGAATTCAATCGTTGGATCGTGATACAGAGTACCGCCAAGGACCGGAGCAGACCTAACAGCAATCTTGACTGGATAGACTCGGAAAAATCCCGACGTTGTAGTCCAGACACTCGCTTCGGCAATTGGCTCCTCAACCACATGGGACAAGAAGCCCCATCTAGAATTGTCCAAAACACGGATGCCATTGAAGTTTCTGCGCAACATGTCCCATATTAAATTACTACTAGGTACTTATCAAACTATCAAGATTATGCACATTTCCCGAGGCGGACAGTGCCAAAAGAGCGATATGCCTCTGCTCCTCGAATTTGTAGAGAGTCAGGTCCTTTACCCCCCGAAGTGAATAATGAGAGCCAGCTCTATAGTCGACTCAACCAGCTGCTTCCGGGTTTCGTCAGTTGCCTCTCCAGAAACCCGACGGCTGGGTCGCATCGTACAACACGTCCCTATCACGCTTTTAAAGAGAGACAAACGCCAGATATAATTACAAACTAGAAGATAAGACAGGGCATGAGTTAGATAGATCTAGGTGGCGCCTGCGGCTGGGCAGCCTGGCTCTCCACAGTCGGATCCAGCTTGTTCATCGTGTCAGTGGTATGCGGACCGGTCGTGGTAGGGGCAGGCTGCGCCGCAGTAGGCTGGCCCTGCGCCGGCACGCCCCCTTTGTCTCCGGAACGGTCAGAGTCGACGCGGGGATCCAGAGTGTTTGCCGTTCGAGTCGAGTGCGGTCCATATGTGCCCTTGGAGCGTTGGTTGACGATGCGGTGGAAGCTCCGGGAGCCTGGCGCTCTCCCTGGCCGCTCTCTGGAATCTTGCTGCTGTCTACCCGCGGATCGAGAACGTTGCCCATACGGGCGATGTGCCTTGGCTCATTCTTGTTGCCGCCTTCGACATGGGCAGCCGCCTGGGCAGCAGGCGGCTGTGCAGCGGTAGCTCCTCGTGCTGATGTATTCATCCCTGACGCCAGGACCTGGGCGCCCCCAGATTGGCTGTCGACAGTAGGGTCCAGCTTGTTGACATATCGTGACGGTGTGGCCCTGCGGTGCCTGGCGCCGGGCCTGGCTGGTTAAGGCCGCCTTGAGCTCCGGCCGTTGTTTGTTGACTAGTCATGTCGTGATGCACGTCCCGAGTCCAAGAGCGACGGTTGCCTGATCAGTCAATGACACACGTGGTGTGGATGAGGGTATCGCAAAGAACTAGGGTGATTGGCAGTAGGTTGAGATGTTACAATGATTTGTAACGAGGCAGTAGATGTGTATAAAAGCGCGTCCAGCGGGAACTAAGAGCGTCCGACATCACGAGCAACTCGCCATATTTATAAGTGCTGTTTCACAACTGCAATCCGTTTCCCTGTGTGGTCACTGTAGGGCGGCGGTGGTGGAAATCGTGTTGTCATAATGACATGCATTGTGTTGGGGTTGCTGGGCGTACACCGTGCTCAAAGAACCACCACCATCATGTCTTAGACGTGGCCCAAGTAGTCGAAACCACCATGATTGTCTCTCAGTCATACAGCTACGTCATATTGACATTCTTATCATACGGTTTACATTCGAAGTGGTTGTAGAGGGTGACATCTGTTCGGAAAGTGTTCGTCACCATGAACAACCCACCTTGTCCCGCCATACATGCTCTACGTACTCATTACGTCGCCCATGCATCATGGTGCCACGGATCTTCCATCCTCAAAGCACAGCATGATATCATTCAGCAACTTTTTTCTTTCTCTCCCGCCTCTCCTGACGTCAAGGGAATATAGCTTTGGGGACAGGTTGCGTCAACCCGCGTTATCGCGCTCGTGATAAGTGGATATAAAAAGGATCAATGTCAAACCGCGAGGCTTGTTGAAATCCAGCCAAAGAAATTCATCATTCAGTCAACCTTATCCCTTCTTATTTCTCAAATCAAACCCCGACGTCTCGATTTACAATGGAAGCCGCAAAAGAAGCCGTCCAGAAAGTCACCCACCCAGCATCTGGTGATAAAGGCGGCACCACCCAAGACAAGCCCGGTCTCGAGCGAGACATGGCACCAAAGCCTACCAAGGTCCATCTCCAGCACTCAGAGGAAGGGCAAGCCCCCTACATCCCGTGTGGGAAGCTCAAAGGCAAGAATGCCGTGATTACTGGCGGAGACTCTGGAATTGGTCGATCTGTGGCAATTCTTTTTGCCATGGAAGGGGCCAAAGTGGCAGTCGTATACCTACCCGCCGAAGAAGAAGATGCACAGCACACAAAAGCCCAGGTAGAAAAGAATGGAGGGGAGATTGTCCTCATTGCCAGCGACTTGAGCCACTCAATCAACTGCACCGACGTGGCAGAAAGGATCAAAGCCGCATTTGGCACGGTCGATATTCTAGTAAACAATGCCGCTACTCGAAACGAACAGGGCACCATTTCCGACATCTCCGAGTATGTCTATTCACCGGTTCTATCCACTGTCCTTCTCACAAGCTAACTCGTCCTAGGGAACAATGGGCGTCTACTTTCCGCGTTAATATCGATTCCTACTTCTATCTAACCAAGGCTATTTTGCCTTTTATGGCCAAAAACGGCTCCATCATCAATAGCGCTTCGGTAGACTCGTATATTGGTGTTCCCAGCAGACTCGACTACGCCACCACCAAGGGTGCCATTATCGCCTTCACTCGCTCCTTGTCCAATCATCTTATCAAGAAGGGCATACGTGTGAATGCCGTTGCCGCTGGACCAGTTTGGACCCCATTGGTTGCTTCAGGTGTGGAAAAGCCCGGGCAGCATGGACATGGGTTGGGGAATTGGACGCCAATGGATAGAATTGGCCAGCCAGTTGAGATTGCCACCAGCTACGTCTTCCTCGCGGAGAATGGCAGTCAGTTTATGAGTGGGCAGACACTACATCCCAACGGAGGTATTGTAGTGAACGGCTGAATGTTCTGAGAAGGTGTTTGAAAAGAGTCTATCCTACTTAGTTTCAATCCTTGACTACTCTACTTGAATTACATGCTAAAGCCCTACGCGTCAATGCTCAGCTTTGTGTTTTTTGTAGCCACGCTTTGGTTCAAACTCGAAGAAGCCTGTGAAGCTTACGTCCGAGATTAGGGTGCACGGGAGGAATCGGTGGAGAAAAAGTCAATCTCGATGCATAAACTTTGAGGGCTTAGCCACGCTCTTACCTTCGTTAGTCGCGAAGCATCATCGGATTGACAGAAGACAGCCATCATTCCGGTTCTCGACTGATATGGGAAATGCTTGTACGCTTAGAGAACTGGCATGGCGTTTTACATGGTACTATTTCGTCTGCTTTTCATCACGCCGCAACTCCTTTGCTACCGAAATCATCGGCCCACAAATCATACTTGAGACTCCTTTCTCTGTCTCTATTTGCTTATTCCACCATCTATCTGATGATTGTGACGATGAGGCGGCTGCTCATTACACTGAGTGCTGTTCGTCGCTTTCAGCAGACCGCATACTGGATCCCCTCACCAACAGATCAAAGCGGCAAGCCAACGTCCGATCCTGTCCCGGACGTTATCTGAACTATGTACCTGCATTCGTATTAACGGTAACTACATGTGCAATAGCCACTGCTGATTTCGTGCTCTGATACCAACTTGAGTCTTCTCATGGCTAGATTATTGAATTTGTTCCGTCATAGGGATGCTTTCGCCGCTCGTCAGAAAGCTCCCGCTGCCGCCAAAGGCAGCGTGAAGGCAGGCCAAGACAACGAGGATACCGTTTTCACGAGTGGTGCATAGACGAGTTGAATTGCCTGAAACTGGTTCCTGTTATGTCATGGTCTAACTTTGACGGATTGGAACCTTGTGTTGCACGTTGATCACCATTATGTTAGCCTTCTGGTCACTATTTGGCGCTGCATACAATGGGCAACGCGAGCGACCGCTTAACAATGGCAATATTCCCATGCCATGTTCGTTATTCGGTTAGTTCTCAGAATGACTCCTTTCTGTTCCTTGCCTGGCTTAACGTTGTTGGGTGCCTCAAGGCCGCGAGCAACTCATGTGTAAGACCTCCCTGAGGTCCAATAATTAACTTTTAACTTTTAACGGCCCTCCCTTTTCACAAACCTACGGACGAAAGTTTTAGTTTAACTCTTTAAGTCTTGGAGTTTAGAATTTTCCAAAAGTCTATCGTAGCCATCGGCGGTATTTTGAGTTTACAAAAGTACAGGTTCACCGCAAATGTGCCTCCAATTATGGAGGTCATGGCATCCATTTTTGGAGGATGGGATGCCGCTTTTGGAGGACAATTTGCGAAGCGCCGGGGCTGACTTCGGTCGGCCCCACCCCACCCCTCCATGTCAGCGCCACCCGGTCGGGGACCCACAGCACGGCACTTGCCTTAATTACGCTGGGATGTACCCGTTGGCAACTAAGTGGGCTTTCCACTCAGTCGCTGACGGGTAGTAAGTACTGTAGTATAAGTATGACCAGAGCGTACCCACGTCGCCCGCTGTAGACATGAATTCCCAGGCACTCTTTTCATCGTCTGTCAACGACACCAAACATGGCCGTAAAAAAGAAATCAACACGTATTCAACATTCCCCTGAGTACTATCGGTCCAAGCATACGCGACTTGCCAAACTTGGCGCCGTTCGAAAGCGTCATGCCGATACAACCAAAGTTAACATGCATGGTGTTAAGCTGAAATGGACAAAGTGAGTGATAATATGTGACACTGCGATTCAATCTCTAATGCGCTTAGACACTGTGACCACTTGTCTGTCAGTGACATTGAACATCTCGAAAATGCCTCCAAAGAAGACATGCTGCTCTGAGTGTGGAACGAGGGTTTCGAACATGGTAAGCAATGCGCTAAGTGGGATATCTTTCGAGTGTAAGATCACATTAGAGTAAATTCTTCTTGGACTCACTACTGTACTCGAATGAAGTAGATCTGCTTCGTTGATAAGCCATTCTTACTTCTACCGGCTTGGTACAGTTGGGGGACAAGTCATCGCATCGTCATCAATGACGTCCACCTCTGCTGGCAAACAACAGTCGGTTAAAGCCCCGGTTAGATTGAGACACCCCGAAACCGCGTGCCGATAATGCATTACTACCTTCTGTTGACGCGATGAACGGACTGGCTGAAAGCCTCCAATTGTCTGCCTAGCTACTAGTGTGTATATTATGTCAGCCAAACCCGGAGCACTGAATCCATTGTCTATTTCGAATCCAGCCCAAATGCCATATCACATGTGAGTTTGATAACCGCGCATAATATATATGCAAGGAAGGTGGGAGTTGCAAGAAGAGTGGTAAGATTGCAAGGCAGCGGTGTGAAATATGAAAACCCGTGTAATATGGTTGTGGACGTCACTCGAGAGAGAGATATATGCACAAAATCGGGCGAAGGCCAACTCTCTAAGTAGTGTCTAGTAGTTATAGATAGATTTATTTATTTATTCAGCGTACGACAGCAGCATATATTTGCAAAGAAGTCTCTGCCCTCAGCATCGTAGTTGTTTCAGCCGCAATGAAGAATATGAACCCGTCCTTGACAGCAAATTCTCTCCCATCCCCCAAAATTGTACCCTCACCAGAAATTGCAATAGCCACGGTAGGACCCTTGTGCTTCCACATTAACTCTTCCTTTCCAGCTGGCATGTCAATCCGAACCATGTCAAATTCGCTAAAGGGAGGCTGGTACAGTAAGGCATGGCCGTTTGCCACGTCTTCGCTCGACTTGGCTGGTAACCTCAGATTGTCCAACCGCGTACTTGAGTCAATTCTAAGAGCCTCAGAAAAAAGATCAATACTGTCGCGGTCGGCCACTGGGCAGAGTCCACCTGCGAGCATATTATTGGAACGAGCCATACACTCCACGATGTCCCCATACAAGTAGCAATGGACGCCGTCAGCAGGAATGAAAATTGCCTCTCCAGGTTCCAGGACAAGGTAGTCCATGCATAGGATCGCAACAAATAGTCCAGGGTCAGTGGCTGAGTATTGAGACTGAAGGCGGTGAATCAGCTCGAACATGGAGCTTGGATAACCAAGTTTCTCGATATCTTGTTCAGACTGTCGCTTCAAGTCCTCTTCAATATTCTGAACAGTCTGTTCGTCTGCCTTCAATATCCCACGAACGACATGTCTCAGCGTTTCGCCGTTCCATGATTCCTTTCCTTCGGGTACGAAATCCCTTAGGCTTGGTATGTTGAACAACGGAGATATCTGATTGACATCTCTCCAGCCAGCGAAGAGCTCGAATCGTGATAGCGCCACCGCAATCTCTGGCTTATGGTTAGAGTCTGAAAACTTGTCTGGATCCTTCTCATGAAGTTTGGCCGCAAGTGATTTATTCGGGTGAATTTGCAATGGCAAAGCTTTGCCTATCGAAAGGATCTGTGATATCCCGGGTCAACAGAGTGGCGCTTGCCATAGAATTGAGTCCACCATACCTTTGGAAGAAATGGAAGCTGGTCGCCAAACTTTTTCAACGAATATGAACCCAGGAGAGCTTCTTTGTGGGTTTTTAACCGTTCGGCAAGTGGTCGGCCAGTTTTCAAGTCTCTCGCAGGAAAGTCGGGATAATCGCCAAACCAGAGCTCAGAATAACACTCGTTGTCATTTACAGCGAATTCAGTCCCTGGAGTCTTCTCGCATAACTTAGCGGCGAGAGACTCATGCCCTTTCTTACCCCATGGGTAATTGTTGCAAGTTCCGCTTAGTTGAAATAGTCGCGATGTAGTAGACATGGTTACTTTCGTCCCGTACTCACGCACGGTCCTGATCGACGTCAAAGCCAGAGAGAAAGTCGTAGGAAGCAAAGTTCATACAGGGAAATTACATCTAGGCAATATGCCGTTCAAAGTTTTAAGTGGTCATGGTAGTCCAAATTTAACAATTGCAAGACGAAATTGGGTCTGCTCCAGTCACACATCATGATGACCTCACCACTAGAAAGGGACCAGACTCCGAAGAAGTTGTGGATTTGGGTCCATTGCCATGGCCTTCATCACTACTCGGTCACAGCAAGCGGAATGTCAGCGAGTGCCAGTTCAAGCTATGCCTTGGGCCCTACAAACATTGAACTTGATGAATCCGCCTTGCTCCATCTTCCGCAGGCAGACAGCCAACAGCGCTCGACATCTACGGCGAACATACAACTACCCTGGATGATGGCCATTCAACACAGGTTTGTTAGCGTTCCCGCCGTGTTTTCCCCGAGGTCTGCTAGGACACGGGCCTGTTTTTGATGCAATGTTGACCGCCCACCGTCAGAATTGTGAAAAGCAGCCAAGCATCCAGTTGCCCGCATCAAATGTGAAATTTACAAAACCGAAAGAATAGTTGAGATCCTATTTGGAAGTAGCAAGATTAGTCTCTACAGGCCTCCCCGAAATGGTTTAAATTAGTGTCTCAAAATTGCTCTTCACATGCAGCAAATGTCCCAGTTTGACAAGTTGCTGGGGAGAGTTGATGAGTAGCTATGGGCTGTCATATCTTGTCCCCTTTCAATAAATTCGCCATCTCTATCCCAAACACAACCACTAGAGTACCAAGCACGCTCACACCTCATATGTAATAATCCGCTCTCTTGATTGTTCGTTTCGCATACCCGATCCCTGCGTCGTACACAACTTGCTTAATGCCGTTCAAAAAGTGAAAGACAAAGGGGAATGCGATCGCGAATTTTGCCCCTTCTTTAAGCACTAAAGGCAAGCCCGCAAATATATTTGCAAATGAAGCACTATCCATTTGCCACCCAAACACGGGTGCGAGTAGATATGAGGTGAAGTAGAGGTATGCCGCCGCGGAAAGAATGTACCCGCTGATGCGCATCCATGCCGAGGAGCCCAGATACGTCTGATCAAGCTTGTATATCTCGAGGTGTGGAGCAACAGGTCGATTTAGACTTTGTCGTTTTAGGATCTCATCTTCTTCGGCTTTCGTCGTTTTTATACTTTTCGGTAGCCTGCTATGGGCTGGTTCAGTGACGACAGTTTACACTTGGACAGCTTTGTTCACGTACTTGCCAGGAGATGGTACGTTTGAAACACGGCGACAGGAAGTCGCGATGGTAAAAGCCAGATTAGCACTTTTTCTTGTGAGATAAACGCTCTGACCTTTTGATCGTGTCAGTGGTGGTGTTTCTTTGTTGAGCAGATGTCAAGTCCCTACCACCACGCCATGCAGAAAGCCCGAGTCTTTGCATCTTGCTTCAGCTCTTGCGAGAGCACAGTTTTCAATATAAAATGTTAACTCGACCTTTGTTAAGTCCAAAATCAGGCCGTTTGCTGCTCAATTCATTATCGCCAATGGGGAGTGGCTGATGTAACATTGACGTCAAGATAAAGCTGCCATTACAACAACATGAACGTGCCATGACTACAGAGTTTGGCTCGTCAAGAGCCCACTTAAATCACCCAAACAACTATTTGGTCCCCAAATAATTTCCAATCACAAAAGAAGTCATGTGTCAGTGGTGCTGGCGACTGTCCAGCTCTAGTGAGAGGCCTGTCAAGTCTCGCGTCGGCGAACTCATTGTACAGAGCTCAGTAGAGGCGATATGCGCGCAAACTACGTATATGTAAATGAATAGATCTCATCTAAAGCTTTTCTTTAGAAGACCCTAGGCTCATGCCAACCTCCACAGAAGTTTGGATCTCCTGTTCGCTCAGTCCCAACAGGTCGTCATCGAAATTGATACGCCCATACTGAAAGGCAACGATAATAGATGAGCCCCCAAACTGGAATACGCCTAGCTCATCTCCCTTTTTTATAGTCTCCCCGATATTATGGTATTTTTTGTGAATCCTGAAGCAGTCAGTTGACATTTCGTAATTGTTACTCTCTTTTTGTCAACTTACTCTACGCTCCCAACATCTGTGGCACCAATTGCCACAAATAAAACGTCTCCAAACTCTTTTGTCTTGATAACCACGAAATCTCGTCGGTTGCGTGTCAAAATATCCACATTACTTCTAAGGGCCACAGGGTCAACCTGGTAGTAATCTCCCGGTAAGCTCTGAAAGCTTCGGATTGTACCCTCTACAGGTGAGTGGTATCGGTGGTAATCTTGCGGCGACAGGCGAAAGCTGGCAATGGCAGCATGCTTGAACTTGTCGCCTATCTCATTATTCATGACTAGATTATTGAGACTAAAGTTCTTGCCTTTAATCCAGAGCGCTTTTGCCTCGCTGATTGAGTCAAAGACGACAACTCGTGAGTCCGCCACCACGACGGCACGGGACGGATCGTCTGCTTCGTAAATGGGCCGTGACCCTGGACGATGTGCCCGAGTGAAGAAATCCTCGAAAGTAGGATAGCAATTGACATCTGCCGGTTTGAAGTCTCGCATATTAATTCCATACGAGTCAACAAAACCCTTGATGCGCTTCCGGGAAGCCGTCGTTCTTTCTCGTCGCCCTGTGGGTTGAATCAACACCTGAACTTCAAAGAAAAGGTCGTATGCTCGGTACAAACCCTCTGCAACCGATTCTTCGTGCATGTACAATCGCATCAAGTGAGTCCTATCAATCCATTGCGTTAGAGGATTGAATAGAATGAGAAGCTTGAGCTTCTTCCATAGGGTTTGTTGTTCTCGCTCCAATTGTCCGGTCTGCGAGTAATGTTAGAGACATTGTCTCCTTGTACCACATGAACGTTCAAAGTCACCTTCCGATTAAATGAGCGCCAACCGACTTCCGCGTTTTGTTCCTAGAAATATGGTCAAACGTGTCGTTACCAAAGGCTGGGTTTTGGATAGCTTGTTGTGTCATACGAGTTTTACCCATGATAGCAAATAGTCGGCTATTTGGTGAATTCGCTGCCAGACATTCATGGTGAACATACTCAATTATGGTACCAGTACTTCACTGGAGTCCAGCGGTATGAAAAAACGAAAGAAAGGTATTTTATGACCTACGGCGTTTAGGAAACTTGTCTGATGAGTTGCTACCAAACGCAAGGTATGGAACATCTTTGCAATCGCTTGCGGCATGTATGAATGATACACAAATGACGCCAGCACACCCTACGTCATAATTTCACACGTGGCGCAAGAACAAACTGTCTTCTATATGATGGGTGCTATGGCTTGTGGAGTCATTCGTTCTCAGAAGTAAAAGCTGTGTTACACACCAGAGATTGTATTCGCAAAGTTGGCAAAATGGCCTCTGCGGAGAGATTTGAGCCAGATTTTGGTCGGCGAAATCGTCAGATTCTCGGTATCAAACGGCAACAAGTCTGAATCTAGCCAGGACTCGCCTGTCACAGAAGAACCATGACCAGCGTATTTGCTGTCACTGCGCCGTAACCTCCAAGATTGTCACCGGGACCGAGACGCAGGCAAATTCAAGGCATTGTCTGGTGTTTAATCACACGCACACCGACAAATCTGCCTTAGACATACCGTTGACTGCTCATATTGCTTTACTTCAGTCTAAACACTGCAACATTCCTTGCTGGGCGTTTCACAACTAGTTTCTTTTCCGCTTCCCCGTCCCACTTGCACCGTTCTTGCCGAACATCTGCTCAATTTTCTGCTGGCCCTTCTCCATCAATTTACCCTTAACCTTCTCGGTGCCTGATACAGGAGGTAACCCTTGAACACGCCGTTTAGCATCTTCCAGTAGTTCCAGCTCCCGCTCGCGCTGCCCCTTGACCGTTGGGATCGACCACGAATTTGATGTCCCGCCTTTATGCGCGAGTTTATATTTGGATCCCTCAAGGTGGGTTTCATAAGTATTCGCATCAACTTTTCGAACATGCTGTATGGACAAAAGTTTGCGTCAACCACGGCTCAATATAGGATACTTAACCATGGCCTCAAAGGTTAAAGCTTACCTGATGTGCAACAATTAGCCAATGGTACTCGGTTCCTACCGGCGCACCGCTTCGTTCAGGAGCCTTCCTGGCTCTTTTTTTGTTCGTCGTATAGTCTATCTTCCACAAGTCTGGCTCCGCCTTGACTTCATGCCAAACACCATCTTCGTAGTTCCAGGTATGTGATCCGCCTACGGCCATACCGGAGTAGTATTGGCCGTTGAAAGACTTGAGAGAATTGTAGCCACCTAAGCCTAGCCCGTAGCCTTTCCCAGCTCCCTCTGTGTTGGTCAAAGCTCGTTCTGCTTCTGGCATAACCTCTTCATCGAGCAGAGTGGGATCGAGGGTTGCATCGTGATCGCTAACTGATACTGAGTGAGTCTCGTGCTCCCCGTCGTGTTGCGACTCGGGTGAGGGCCCTGAGTGAGCGTTGCTTTCTGAACATGCCGGTGTGTCGCGCTTGGTATTTGACCGCCTTCGCCGCTTTGACGCCGGGGCCATGGCGTGGAATAATGGGATGTTGAGTATATTACAAACAAATTCCACGTTGATCAGATTAACAACTGTGGCAAACTTCAGAATTTCGGATACTACATATCATTGCTTGGGGATGAAGTCTAATGATCTAATGACCTGATATGTGATGAGTCGTCGGTGACGTCAACTACTCGAACCTAGCTACACCTGTAGCGTGTGCATTACAACAGATAGACGATCGATGGGTATGATTGAGATACAAACATGAGAATACACTAAATGATGCTTTAGCTTCCTGAACGGGGACACGGCATTAAGTGGTCGTTGTCTTACCGCACCTTTGACCGGCCACGGGACGTCGTGGACGTTGACATAATTGACATCCAACAGCTTTTTGTCGGTAACCTTGTCGCCCATAGTGAACGTACAAGCCATCGTTATTGCCGTTTCTGGCCTATTTTGATCCAACAGTCTAGGTGAAAACCCACCAGGAATACGTAGAGAGGGCCATGTATGACCAACTGAGCAAAGACAAATACTTCTCTCCAGTCGAATAGTTTCGTAGCACAGATTCAATTTTCAATTTTTATAAATAGACCCTGTAGATCTAGTTCTGAACCCAGTGGATTTTACTACGCCCATATACCTTGTTATCAAGGCAGACGTGTCTACTGACTCCAAACATCTTGCTCAATAACAAATATCCCCCTAACCATTTACCACGACTCCGCCGTTACAGTGCAAGGTCTGTCCACTAACACATGAGCTATCCATGGAAGCCAAAAATACGACACAGGTTGCGATTTCGGAGGGCTGCGCTGGTCGACCCATAGGACTGGTGAATTCTTTCTGGGCTTTGTCGTTCATCGTTGCGGGAATCAACGGAGTCCATACTACAATCATCAGAAGCATGTCATAAAAGACTAGTTGTCAAAGCGCGCTTACCTGGACCGGGGGCGACAGCATTGACTCTGATGCCTTTTGAGATGTATTGGTTGCTGAGGCCTCTCGTAAATGAGATTATGCCTCCTTTGGTCGACGTGTAATCCAAAAGATCCGGTCGGCCAATATATGCATTAATAGAAGCGTTGTGTATGATGACAGAGCCGCGCTTCATATGCTTGAGAGCGTACTTGGCCATAAAAAAGTACGAATGCATGTTTATGTTGAACGTATGAACCCATTGGTCGTCAGGCAGGTCGAGAATGTCCTCAACCATCATTTGATCTATTTTGGTCAAGTTAGCGTTGTCCTTTCCTCTCTCATTCGGGAAGAGAATTCAACTGACACGCTGCATTGTTGAAAAGAATGTCTATTCCATTCATCTTCTCCAGGGCAAAATCGACTGCCTTTTGACAGTTTTCCTTTTCCACGAGGTCTGTGGAGAAGAGATGACATGTTCCCCCAAGCTCCTCGATTTGTTTCTTGGTGTCTTGCGCATCCTGCTCTTCGTCGGGAAGATATACTATTGTTGATATGGCACCTTCTTTAGCAAATAACACTGCTGTCGCTGCTCCAATCCCACTATCGCCGCCTGTTATGAGTGCTCTTTTGCCCTTGAGTTTATTTGCCGCTTTGTACGTTTTGGTTGTTCCACCTGCATCGGGCAGCTCCTCGCGAACAGGCTTGGGATCGGGCATATCTCGATCCCTGCCGGGGAACTCCTGTTTCGAGATGGGGATATTCTTTTCTGTCGCATTGGTATCTCTGTGTTAGTATTGGCCGGCTCTCCTGTCCTGAGGATAGCTTACCATCTTTGAACTGAGATGTCATGGCGGATTAAGTAGAGTAAGGTGTTAGGCCTAACGAGGTATTTTACCGAGATCAAGATATAAGATGAGAATAAATCTTAGAGTACCAACGGTGGCACAAAACGTGCAAAGCCCATCCCCCAGCTTTCTTGTCCTACCGGTAACCCACAAGTACCAGTGATGCATCTCTGTCGTCATGAAGTGGATTTCTACGGTGAACCAATTGTACTTCTGTTAATATTTTTTTTCGATGGATCTTTTTCCAACATTGCAATCAGATTCAATCAACTGGCATCTATGACGTGTGCACCCAGGCGTAGTAGGCTTGGCCTGGCCATGCGACCCTCTTCATTGATGCGCACCTCGTTTGCGATCTTTACGGGCCGCAGTGTGCGACGGTGGCTTGGGTGCTACATAGATCACCTATGCTTCCGGCATACCAATATCATATAGGAACTGTCATATTTGTTATAAGTATAATAGTTCTAGCTTCTCAGGCTGTGCAGTGCTATTTTTTGACCGACTCTATGTTTTGATCTATCTCCCACCATGGTCTATTTCTTAACTAACACGCTCCTTTGCTTTTGGAACTAATCGAAACCTCTACAGTAGAGTCATATTCTTTTGCTTTATTCGCATTCGTTCGTACGGTCTATTCCTAGATGACTATTAGAGGCGGCAATGCATCGAAACTCAGAGGAAGCCCTACTATTATCTCAATATCTATTCAAATTTACAAATTTTGTTACAAAGGTACTCGAAGGAGAGACGTCTCCTGCTTTTCAATTGCGTTATTCTGCCATGGAATGGATAACCATCGTCTCGGGTACGGTGCTTTCGGAATCTTGCGGTGTAGCTGGCCTCCGGGGGAATTAAATTATTAGGAGTTGTTTTATGTACTGTTTTACAAGGGCTAGTACAAAATTATAAATTAAACATTAATGTTGCGCCTTATAGATTCGTCGGAGTGCCAGACGCTCAGGTCGCGGTTAGTATTTATATCAAGCCAAAATGGAAACAGCAAATGATGACAATTACATTGTTACCACTTGTCGCAGTCTGAATGCTTAAACAAATTACAGACGAAGACATGGATATTTACGTCACATTTCGGTAAAAATTACAGGTAGACCGAAATGGGCGTGTGGGCTTTGCCGCTTGTAGTATGATTACATCCAGGCAGATGCTAGTGTTGCAAAGGCATTGAAGGGCTTGACCATCTAGATGCTGGTAATGGGAACCCCAATAAGGTTCTTCATTGACCAATCTTATAACACTCTCCTATATTGCAATTGCACTTTACCGAGAAATAGTTACTCCGCCATGAGTGCTCCGACGCTATCCGCAAAAGTAGCTACCGAAAACAAGCATGGGCGCACATTTTTTGGGGTATTCAGTTGTAGGCAGAAGTACCTGGTAATATTTCATGGCTGCATAGGTCATGGCGTATCGATGATGTAACTGGGCGACTGGCAAAGTGTTGCACGTCACAAGGACATCAACGTTCATTCTCAGTATCCGCCAAATCTACGGTTATTTTTCAGCATCCAAAAATCCCCTCCGGTGTCGAAGGCTTTTCCAATTCCCTACTTCGGCATGGCCTGGCATGGCATGGCCTAATGGCTGCACAAACTGGGGCTCCTAGCCTAATCATGATCATGATGCGCATCCAGGGCAAGGGTCTCCGTTATGTTCCCGTTCAGCCCCGCGGCGATGATCACGCCAATAACACACTGTACCTTGCTAGATTGGTCAAGGAGCAAATGCTCCGGGGCGACCTGTCTCCGATGTAAGAGGCGAATCATTGCATTGCTTCCGTCGTGGCATCTCACTTGTTGAAGATGAAGTGTCGAGCTTGTTGTTCCCATGAGGAGAATTGGTACAAATTCCACGGACACCGATGATGCCTCGACTTTAAACTGTCTATCCACAGTAAGCAGCATATTTCTTCTCTTCGGCATACGTATGTCGTGGCTTTTTCTCCGGCCTATGCACATGTTCCCTCCGGATGTGGCGGAGGTACTGCTCCGGGACTATTCGTATTGCAGCCCCAAGCTCGACATGGAAATGATTCGTTCAACATGCGAAAGCGTGTTTTGCCCATCTGTGCGCCAGTGTTATTACTGCATATTTGGGCAATCTGTGACGGCACATGCATCATTAGCCTGCCCTCTCAGGCTCTAGCGCAGCAACAACAGGTCCATTTGGAAAATGGTGCAGGCGTCAAATTCACAATAATAAGTATTATATTTCATGGAAAAGAAGTTGCTTGGCGCGATCTCCAGCGAGACGCACAAGAACAACTGTGAAACATAAAAAAAAAGCAGAGAGTGCGCACAATCCACTCCTATCAAATCGGGGTATCGTAGTCATATATATGCCTTAACACAACAACAACAAAGCCTAAAATGTAGATGCGAACACGTACTCCTTGCATCAAAACATACTGAATATTCCTCCTAAATTCAGCCTGACGAATTCCGGAGCGAACCTAGTCATTGCAACAATTGTTATCCCGCTTCTGTCGCTTGGAAGGTTGAGGATCATCGGAAAACGATACGTGCCGTCCAGGACTTCGGGGTTTACCCGTAACTTTCCCAGTCCGTCTTGGGAGGTTGCAGCTGAGTATCAAATTCCTAGCCCGAATAGCCTCGGGCGTCATATAGGACGGGATAGGCTCAGTGCTTGTCTGCTGTGATGGTGTCTCGGAACCTAAAGGGCTGCCATGCAACACCACAGACGGTATCAGTGGCACAGGAGGTATGGTGGCAGGTGCTGCTCCTATTAGATTGACATGACTGCCGGTATCAAGAGTCAACGGCGCAATTTCGCCGGGATGATTGAATGGCAGATCTGGCAGTATTCCTGCTTCGCCCTGTGGTTGGCCATAGTCGAAAGCACCCAGCTCGTGAAGCTCGTGGTCGGCGGGCCAATCTTTGGGATTCTTATAAGTCGACGGGTTGTCAGCGGTGGCATTGCTCGCCTCTGGATATTCCAACGGCATAGATGCAATGTTTGGTGATTCGATGTCTGTCACGTTATGAGACTCATTGTTAACTAAGCTTGTTTTCTTGAATAAAAAATATTGTTGTTTTTTCTATCCTTCAGAAGGGTTCATGTCTTTTATCTTTAGTTTAGAAGACTTCCCAGCCACCTGATGAAATCAGGGTGGCTGGCCAGCCTCTCAACTACTGATATCGATGATTTTATGACATCTAGCAATTACGTCAAGTCTGCTTGTTCAACTAACAGAGGCAGCCTTATCCGGCAATGTCCTCCCCCGCAACGTTGGGTCTAGACACGGCCGACAACGATGTATTGCCAACAATATTGGTGGTCGGCTTCAAGAGAACATCCGCATTTTCGTCGGCCGCGTCTTTAGGTACCGTTAGGAGATCGGTAGACACCACGACGGTACCTTGAGCGGTTTCGATGGTTTGGAAACCTGCTCCCTCGGGGGGGGAGGCGGATGATACCATGTTGCTATTGTCCAGGTAAAAGTGCAATACGTGCAATGAACTTGGTTTTAGAGACGGTAAATTATAAATAGTAGACCGCGTGAGGAGATTTTTCTTCTTGTGCACATAGTCGTCACCTGAGACGGAAAAGGCAGCCGACTCAGCTTCCCACGAACGATCTTCCACTGACGTCAGGACGGCCGGCGGATGTCCATCGGTCTAACCCCAGCATGCCAAAAATGTGTCAACGTAGACTATCTGCAACTCGTCACATTGGCTAGGCGAAGCGTCAGACTCTGTAACGGCCAGGGACTTGCGAATTAGGCCAGGGCAGTCGGTAGGAGTCCGCCAATAACACACAAGGCCCACACTTAGGGATACTGAATCGAGTTCGGCCCACCATTCTTCGAAATAATCAGTCATAAATGCTGGGATTTATCAGGAACCATTGCTCGCTACTCTAGAAGATTGTGTTTGGGTCCTGGTTCGCTCTGGTTGACTATGCAATACACTGCACCTCTGCGCTTACAACTTGATCGAGGAACATGATGTATGATATGACACTGTACTTGGATTATTTGAGTTTATACGAAAGCTAAAAGCTTAAAATAAATACCGAAGCATTCGGCCGCGTCGTGACGAGTGGCATTTAAAGACAACAACCTAGGTAGTAATATGGTCAGCTTCTATGAGTGGGAGAACCACGTACACATCGGGTGACACCACACGCTTGCGGTGCTGGGGAGGCAAGGAGGTGATCCTGGGACACTGGGAAAGTCAATTTGGCATACAGACGACCATGCTATTTGACAATTGACCCAGTCCACAAGTTGCCCATCGTACAGACGTCGCTATGTCGGTCTAGCGTTAGGTGCTTAGATTCAAAACGCCATATCCCGGCCCCAACTCCACTACTTCTGATTGGTTTACGCTTCATAGATTTGAACAAGGTCGCGAGTCTAGAACGCTTCCGGCCACTGCCAGCGAGCTTCAGGTAGGGATCTCGGTCCTGCCAAGCAAGGGCAGGCGTTGGGCGTTTTGCACCCCCTTCGTAGACGAGTACGTCTAAGGAAACGATTCGGTCCTGATGCCCCGTGCAAGTATACTCGCAGTACCAGAGTATTGGTATTGACCGATGCAAGTGCTTTACGATCCTATTTGGCATTCTCTAGCATCACTGTAGAGTCCATGCCAAGACCACTGAATCTGGTCGGGGATTATTTTGACCAGTTTTGTTGTATCACTAACTCGGCAGTTGTTTAGAGAAAACCGCATCAAGTTCTTTCTGCTTCAAGTTGAGAGTCAGCACGTGGAAGTCTCATGATGCGTTGATGCCAACATATCCCAGCGTGACCAAATTTCATTCTCATAGTAGCTAAGTTGGAAATGCCCTAAGACACGATATGTCAAACATCTCAAAATTAAAAACCGCCGGACTACGTTCCGTCCCTCATATCAACTTTCTATAATAGAACGTCGGCGATTCATTGCCCAGATCATAAGCAGTGACTCCTCATCAAGCCTCCATGGTGCCTTTTACCAATGGTACACCCGAACAGGGCCGGGCTTGGCCAAAACTCTTTTCGGATAAACGTGTTATTTCAGAATCATTTGTGCAAGAATGAAGCAAGTAGTCGTCAGCAGGCCTGTGACATGACTCTAAACAGTCAGTAAAGCAAGCATGGCAAAAGGGAACAAGGTTCACGATTAGGTACCTAGTTGACAAGGTCTTGCCGACTATTAATATGTCCAGGAGTTGCATTTTCGGAGTCTATAAGGCTGTTCATCAAACCGCTCTCTTCGATGATTTCACGTTGTCGTTTTCTAAGGTTCCGCAATCGTTTGTCCATGTTGGCTAGTTCCTGTACGATAATATCGATGTCTGGCACGTTTCTTTGGGTCGTCTCCGCTATGCACCCCGCCGGGATGTCAAGCAGAATGGGTTTTCTCGCCTCTTGCTGCATGGCTATGCAGTCGTCGCTAAGTCATTCTCAACTAGTTTCGTCTGGTGTGGGAGCAGCTGGCACTGTCGAAAGAGGTGGCACTTGGGAAAAGGAAGGAGGAAACAAAACCAACGACGGCGAGCTTTAAATATTTCCTTATGCCACTGTTCCACGAAAAAAAAAAAAAAGGACTCAGTACAGATGATAAAGCGAGACCATGTTGAAGAGATCTATGTTGCTATGTGCGTGTGATAGGGGCTCTTGGTTAGACTAGTTAAGAAGCCCCGGATCACATTGACCCTGCCCATCCCAAACAGTTATCGAAGTGGCCTGACTCCCCACAATAACTTGCAGCTGGCGTAGATGTTGCCTCTCAATTGGCCGATCCTCCTGGTTATTTGCTCCGATGGAGATGGGCGGGACTTGTATCTAGATCTAGATATAGATCTCGCCCCAACTCGCCGGTTCACTGGGAAGTCGACATTTTGGGAAGCTTTTCGTAACTCAACGTATCCCGAAGTGGCTGAATGGACCTTCCCTTGGCTCTTGGTTAGATGACTTGGGTTGTTCTCTCATGTACTCTCAACTCACACCTACGCAGCTAAGCTTGGAGACTCTCGACCGTAAGCCACCCACCAGTGCCCTCACAAGGACCCCTAGCTTATAGGTTCTGCGTTAGGTCATGGCCAGGCATGCATTTTCTAGTCGCTGATCGCCATGATAAATCACATTCCCATACCCTGGATCATCGGTTCCACACTGGGCTCAGTCCCAAACACAGTGTTACTTTAACAACACCGTGCAATTGATGGATGGACCAAGATCTTCCAATTAGGCTTAACAACGAGGGTGGAATGCCCGAATCTTTTTGTTTTCTGACTCAGAATGGTAAGTGTAGAGCAATCTTAACAAGTCATGTTCCTCGCTTAAAGGACTCAAATATCTTTCTACTCTCAACCCTTCCAGTAGGAGTCCGCATCTAACGACCAACGATTAGCAACAGCGCCATGCAGGAGTTAAAATTTGCGTAAGCCGCAAGCCGCAAGCTGCAAGCGTAAACTTACCTTTGTGTATGTCCGGGGTGGGGATTCCCTGTCTTGCATCCCTCTTCGCTCTGTAGTCGGTCCCGAACCGCTCGTCCCTGTCCTCCACCTTCTTAAAGTCCGGCTGCCCGTCATTTGTGTAATTTGTCACCAACTGTGGTTCCCCAAGTGGCAACTTATCACCCCTATCTGTCTGCCATAGATGATACGTTTTCCCGTACAGCTTGACAATCTCTCCCATCTCCTTGTTCTCTGCCATGTCCCACGGAGTCTGTGGTATCACGCGGTTCGGCATCACCAGCATACCAGATTTTACTTCGTACACATGCGAATGCCATAGCCGTCGCTCGTCCGGGGGCAAAGTCTCGTAAAGCTGCGGTGTGATCATGTACTCTATGCCAATAAGTCTGGCATTGGCATCCGGAGAGTCGTATAGTAGGCACTGCCGAACATCACTGTCTAATTGTTCTTTTGGTCAATTGATAGATATGTGGCTGAGAGCGGAGTGCGGCTTTGAACCTACTAATCTGGCTGCAGAAGTGGTTTGTTTCAATTGATCGACCCAGATCATCTGCGTAAGCGTGGAAGGCGTTCAGGTGGGCGCAGACATTTTTAATTGGCTTGAAGTTCTGATATACACATCAATCTAAGACCCTCAGAAGTGTTGTTTGGTATCGCCAAACCTACCTGGGTGATGGAGGACGTCCCAAGAAGCACGGCGTCCTTCATGGAAGTAGGCTCACCGTAGCCTTTCACTTGTGACCGGCAAAGTCTCCATTTTCAACTGAAAGGGAAGACAGTTGTGTTCGTGGATTAGTTAATGACATTGTAGTGCGTATTTATTTCCCTGGAGCATCCCGAGTCCACAGTCACGGCTTACAACCTTGAGCCACCAGTGACGTGAAGGTGCCATCATGGACTTCTCTACAAGTTTTTGGCATTTGATACTGGACTCTAGGTTTCCCATCAACGGTCATTATTTAATTGATAAGATTCTCAAATTTCAAGATTTGCTACGAAGCTCCCAAATCGTAATCCGTGCTTTGGCTTTAATTTTTCTAATCCGTTTCTTGCCTCCTTGACCCTCACAAACAAGATGATTGGCCAGTTCAGGGATGGCACCAGACTCATTACAACGTCTAGTCTGTGGCGCATTGCGGGGAACTCGCCAAGAGCTAAAATATAGAGGCTGTGGTCATACACAGGTAACTAATATTCGGCTTCCAGAGACTTTACAGTTTCTGCGTTGCGTCCAGATGACATCACGCGTGCGAGATGTCTCTTTCCCACAGCCCAGCCCATGGCCCCCAATACCAAGCGTCGTTGACATCACGTTTGTCCAATTTTTGCCAAAAAAAAAAACCCCATCTACCCTTCCAGTTTCATAAAATTCGGTCGTCGACTTACTTTCCCTGGCCCTGAAGGAACGTGTGAGATACTAGCCGGACGACAGTCCCAGCTTTGGTTGGTTTACTTCATGAATGACGGTGCTCCTAAATTTCAGTCTCCGCTATCAAAATCCAAGACATTTTACATAACGTCCTACCTGCCGGATGAGAGAAACAAAGTATAGGCCAGTTGAAATTAATAATGGGTAGACAAGCCAGTGGACTGCGTAAAGGCAGGATTACGTCAATTGCGTGCAATTCCTGCCGCGAAAAACGAGCAAAGGTAAGGAAACAATGACACAGACATGTCAAACGTATTGCTGACAGCGAGAAGTGTGATGGAAAGCAACCCTGTGAGAGGTGCAGCCGTCAAGAGACCGACTGCTGCTACATCAAGAGGCGAACTGAGTCAAAGGAGAGCTTGCGGAAAGAGATCGAGCGGTTGCAATTGGAACTACACCAAGTAACCAAATCCTTCGAAGCTTTCAAGGCAGCATCAAGCGCGGGCGGTCCTACATGCCCTCTGCAACGTCAACAAATGCCAACGAGCAAAGTACGTGGTTCGAGCTGCCAGAGGCCACGTCCGCCCGAAATGCAGCGTCCATACGAGTATGATAATGGGCAATTATGGAGCACATCTAAATTAGAGAATTCTTCAGGTGCGGCGTTGTTTACACAATTGTTTTCGAGTTCTGATTGAGCGGGGCCTAATGATGCATATACGTCAGCTTCGACAGCCGTACCTCTGGCGCCGATCTCTACAAGCTTTCCGGACGTGGTCCCTGATTCCAGTCTCAATCACTGTCTTAACTTCTTCGGAAAGCCACCTTGGATTCACCTAGATCTGCAACCGTCACCATTAACCCGTGAAATGGAATTCGTCACGGATCCGTGGACGACCTCTCGGCAGGATAATACGGCTACCTGGTGATCATCCGCGATACTGGTACATTGAAATACAAGACCGCACTGAGAATTAATGTGTGTTATCCAAGCTTTTCTTCTGTGGTTATGCCAAACGGTCCGACTTAACAACCACACTGTCGGAACGGAGTGTCCATCAAATTCAGCCACTGTACGAGCTTCTGATTTGCGCCTACACCTCATTTTGATGTGATGATGGCACGAATGCATGAGAGCGTGCGGTTGCTAAGAATAATACTCAAGTTACGATGCCATTAGAGGGCAATTGTCTGAAACACGGACGATGACGACCCGGCCAAAGGCATTCCGGACGGCTTATCCCATGGAAAACATATCTAGCTGTACTGAAGGTCCTGACTCGCTGCGACCTGGCGAGGACATCGGCTGTACCCTACCAATTGTATCAGTCGCCATGTTTGGAAATTACAGTCACTCCTGGTCGTCCATTAGGCCCACCGAAATCGCATCCGTTGCTCATTCTTCCCTGTTCTCGTCTCGGAAATTTTATGATGGCATCCAAATGAGTCCTACATCAATGCCGTCATAAATGTTCGATAGCTGCGGGGAAAATGGCGAGAGTTCATTCCCAGCATCTTCCAGCCGGGGAAGCCCACAAGGACTCGGCTTGGATGCACCACAAAGCAGTGTTCTCAGAAGACCACCCCCGTCCTAGCCTCCTCGTGCTTTAGGCAAGGCAGGGCACCATGTTGGTTAAGGCTTAGGAGGGTTGGCTTGCAAATGATGAGGCAAGGCATGGATACGCAAAAATAGGCAAGGCCAGTAAACAGTTTGGACTGAGGGGGACGCGGCTGGGTCGTACGGAGAAGGCCCTTCGGGATCGATTCAAATTTTGCGCCGAGGGAATGAAGCTATCCAGAGTAGCCATGCGACCAGACTCAACTAGAGTGATCCAATTGCCTCTTCCTTCAAACCTCCTCGCTGCCTTCGGGTCTAGAGCAGGGTTGACAGTCACTACACGTTTTTCCACATAGGGACTCACATATGTATCAGGTTAGCAAAGGTCGCAAGCTTGACAATAACCCTATATTCCGATTGTATTTAAAAGCATTAAAAAAAAAAGCGTATCCAGGGCTTCTAGGTTAGATCCATCAGTGACCGGAGTGCGGGAGCTAAATCCGCAACTTCCTCCGGATCTCGGCTGAACACTTGACAACCCACACTCGACGATTTTGCGAGTTCCATCAGTGATCATTCATTCTTAGTTTATGTAAGAACCTAAACAGCCTTACCATCCAAAAGAGCCTTTGAGCTCGCCGATCTGACGTATGCAATGGACTCGATCTGCCATCCGTGTCGCCACTCCCCGATTCTCCTACGTATTTGCTCGTCATTATGAGATCACAACATGACTAGTTGTCAATCACAATCCCGTCTGTCTGTCTCACAAAAAAAGAAAATCATTAAATCGAGAGCTCGATGGCTGTCTCCGAAGCGAAGAACCGCCTCGTTCATTTAATAATGCAGTGAACAGGAAATCCTGTCTCTCCAACGCATCCTAATCATTCTGACATCTTGGTCTCCATGGAAGCACACAACAACGAATCTCACCGATCTGGGGTCAGAAGCAGCCAGGAAAAGTCTACATCGACCACCCCGGCAAGTCAAACACAAAATCCTAGGCGCAGGCGCGGTCATGGAATCGTGACGCCGCACGCTTGCGCAGAATGCCGGAGGAAGTGGGCCAAGGTAAGCAAGCCATGGAACGGTGCAGTGCACTCTATAGCGGATTCAATCAAGTGCGCTGCAACGTAAAATGTGAAAACACAAGCACTGGATGACGAACACGTACCACTAGGGTGATGGACAGAATCCATGCGGTCGCTGCAAGTCCTACGCGGTTGATTGTGTGTACGAGGCTCCATTGCGGCAGTCAAAGGACGAACTTCGAGCGGAAACAACAGTTACGGCAACACCAAGATTCAATTAGTCGTGTTATTTCCGCCCTAATTCAGCCGGAGCATGCAAACGAAATCTTGATGAGGTTATGGGGCGGAGATTCCGTTAGGAGCATATCTGACGAGATGGACGAGGGTGATTTGAACAGCCGCTTGAGTAATCTCTGGAAACGAGGAAATCAAGCTCCTGACCTAAAAAATGGTACCATTCGCCACGAAGGGAAGGAAGATTCCCCGATGATGTTAGGCCCGGCCGATGCAACGTGGTTGCCAACTATGCCGCCTCATACCACTGATCACGGCATGCATGTGCCAGCATCAGCTGAAGTCAATTCTGAGTTATGGTCTTGGGGACAGCTAAGGACCGAGTTCGCCGGGACTTGGACGACCGTCACAGTGATACAGACCTAGTACAGCATTTGTTAGCGTTATACTTTTGCTGGGAATATCCCACGTTTGCATCGTTGAGCAAGGAGCACTATCTCCGAGATTTTCATGCCGGCCGAAAGAGGTATTGCTCTTCATTGCTCACAAATGCCCTGCTTGCCTTGGGCTGTCGTTTTTCCAATCAGCCTGGAGCCCAGGATGACACCGGCGATTGTTTCACTTCAGGAGAAAAGTTCTTCAAAGAGTGTCAACGACTATTTTTTCTCGAGACAGATCACCATTCTATAACCACTGTCCAGGCACTGGGTATTATGTCAATCCGGGAAGCGAGCTATGGTCGAATGTCTATAAGCGAGTACTATGCTGGCCAATGCATGAGGTTAGCTATTGAGATGGGCTTCACCGAACCCGTGAGCATGATTCACAAAGTGCCGAGTACGATGAGGAACGTACAGTTCAATCGGCGACATTTTGGGGGGCCTTCACTATAGATAAGTAGGCATAACATCCATCAATCCTTAATCTGGACGCAACAGCTTACTTGGTGGGATGCTAATACATCAATTCATCCAGCGCCCTGTCATTTACTGGCTCTCTGCCGAGAACATCGTTCTTGCCAACGCTACCACCTAAACCCCCGATTATAGAAGTGGAAGATAATCGCTTCTGGATTCCGTATACCGATGATGGTAGGCTTCGACTTCCGACAAACTGGATTTCCGGTTAGATAACAGCGCCGGCAGGTGTACCATTGCCACTACCGTGTGAGCAGGTATCGAAACGAACGGTCGGTATTTACATTGTTTTGCCAGTTAAGCGAACTGGCCCATCAATGCCTATATCTCGTCCACAGCCCAGTAAAATGTTTGACGTCAAAGAGTCTGTTGCGACTCTACACAAAGAACTTGGTGTGGTATGACCAGCTACCAGAAGCTTTGCGGCTTGGCAAGGATTTTACTCCATATGGGCTCTTCGTTCAGTATGTCTTCTCAGAACACCCCTGGAATCAGCCTGATCGTCTGACGGCATCAACTAGTATGTACTATCATTTTGCGATTATACAATTATTCTGGCCTGTTATAGAATGCCATCTTCAGTACCCTCCGCGATCTTCTCCCTACCGAACAGAACCCATCATGCTGCATCACCTTTGTCGCGATGGAGACGTGATTTATTTGACCGCCGAACCCGATCATACCCGTACCTTAGGTGGTATGTTTCGAGATAGACCTCTGAAGTTTGCTTCGCCGCCAGCACGCCTTCTCTCCGGGTGGGAGTCCAGTTTAGCCTGCGGAGGTAAAATATACCAAGATATTTACGTCGACAAAGACAGAAAACAATGGAACTGGAAAAAATCACTCAGTCTCAGTGTACAGATCGTCAATGCCGTGGCTTTTGAATCCTTCACGGGATGTGCCTCTGCCGACTCACCAATCTCATTTGCGGATTACGTTGATGCAGGCATTCCTTTCTATCATATTGCCCAAATCAAGTCTAATTCCGTCAGAAATAATTTCAGAGCTAAGGAGCGTATCCTCCATGGACTTAGAAAAGCGGGTTTGCAAGAAATCAACCCTTCAAGGCTTACAGCCTATTCAATGCATTCTAGGTGATCGAATGCTTGTCGACACAATGTAAGATACTTACCCTTGCGAAAAACGGATACAGTTACTAACTACTATGCAACACCAGTCTTCGTCCCTGTAATCATGTGTTTTGCTCCAATTGCATCCGCCTGAGCATGTATGATGAAAGAGGAGTTCGATGTCGTGCTTGCAATAGCTTGTCCTCGAATCAGATACAGTTTTCCGGGCCAATGGAGATCCCACATGCCCTCCTAACATCCTCGAAATAATGCATCTGCATAATACTTATGGTGCCAAAGTTTGGAAGCCCTCGGCCGTAGACGGCCAAGACAACCGCAGGCGGACTGCGATGTCCTCAAATGGCGACCAGGAGAGGGAAATCTAGTAGATGGCCGATGGGGGTTACCAACCAAGACGATAGGCTGCGTTGGAGACCATATGACAGGGGGTTAGTTTGACGTTGCGGGAGAGCAGCTTCTCGCTCCTTCGCAACATATTGGAGGCCAACGGACCACCTTACCCCTGCGATTTTTGGACATATACCTGAGTAAGTTTACCAGCTATGCACTGAGTGTCGCTTGCAAGCAAGATGTACTGAAGTGCTCGACATAAATCGCAGTGATGCCTCCGCGTACCTAGCCAGAGGCCTGATGGAGGCCCCAGTCTTTGCCTTGTACATGGGTTATTGTTGGCCTACAAGGGCTTTGTCCAACGTACAGGGCCTCCATGTAGTAAAGGTCTTGGGGTTAGTGTCCCACTTCCGTATAGGCGGGAGCCATTTCCGGACGATCAACCCTCTGATGGTTCGGCTTCTCTTCCCAGCCATTATTTGCACTCTTTACCGGACGAACGACGAGGGGCAATTGTTTCGCGAAAAGCCGAATGCCGCCACAGACACAGGAGTAGGTTTTGGCGGCAATTGTACCTGAGAGTACTCTGCCTCAATTCCCCGCGCTTTGACAATTGACACCCTGCGAAAACCAAGGCTATGCATAATATCTAACAACGATCTGACCTTAATCCCTTTGATTTGTTGCGGGCGAATCGTGCCAACTACGCCCCGCACGTAGGAGTAGATGACAAGAAGCTCTGTAAGCGAGATGTCTGCCCACATTACGTTACTCAAGTGGAGGCAGGGGAGGTGGTGAGACAAAGACTTCGTGATGCGGTCGCAACATCCTCTGACGCAGTGATAGTTATGACACTACACACTCTTGCATTGATACTGTCGTTGAGGCCTTGTTGACCCGAACTGCCGATTCGGTGCTGAACGCCTCATTTGGAGCCTTGTCAAACTCTGCGAAGTGGCGTGGTAGCTAACCGACTATGCAGCGTATTCCTCCTGGCGATACGACGTATTGCCATTGAGTGGAGAATTTTGCATAGAGCATAGCCTTGAAAAGCCGATGCAACTCGGCAAACGGCATGTTTTAAACTTTGCATGGTGAGGACGCCCAATTGCCTTGAGACACATCATCCTACTGCTGCGGTGATGGCAAAAGGCATTTGAACATGCCAAGGAGGCAACGCTGGTAAACCACAAAATACACTAACCGATGGTGTAATCTAGATCTGGTCCCATATACTTGGCCATGGATAAATATTGTCGGAAGGAGAAGTTGCTCAACACAATTCCGTCGAGCACCTAGCTACCTAGCGACTTCAATCTCTTCACCTTCTAATGTAGCATCTACCAAGCCTCAAAAAGGCGAAACGTCGTGCTATCGACGAGCTTATCGCAATGGCGAGACGGCCCGACGCCGATATGTCCCGATGTACTACGTACCACTCTTATGACTTATATGAACACGGATCTTAGGTCCCCAAAAGAAGGACCTCAGCACGGGTCTCAGCAAAATGGCTAGTAACATATGCATCGATATTATCTGAACTCTTTACTCAATTTTACTCCTCTTCTCATATCCGAAAGTTGAGGTGTAGTCACCACCGCAAAAATGATTCCTCTTCTGATGTTCGCAACCCTATTCTTAGCTGCGTTGCCAACCGACTCTGAGCCCAAAGTTCCCTCTCTTAATGTACCGTCATGCTCTCGCGGCGTTGGCACGATCAAATACGACAAATCTGTCCCTGATCTGAAGCCCTTCCCTCTAACCCAGGTTGACCTTTGCTACACCGACACTCATCTAGACATCAGGTTCACCGCCCGCGACGAGGTAAGCTTTTACTTCAACTCGTCCCAGGGCACCAATGCCAACATCTGGGAGTACGAGGTTATGGAGGCCTTTATCTACAAGGGCACGGATAACCCGAAGAACTATCTAGAATTTGAGGTGAACCCCAACAACATCACCTACCAGGCCTTTGTGTACAATCCTTCTAAGGTGCGCGCCGATGGTGCTCCCTTTGACCACTTCTTCGTATCGGACCCTTCTACCGATGGGTTCAGTGCTGTGACCAAGCTTGTTAAGCCGAAGCTGCTGTGGGTCAGCGATGTCAAGATACCCCTGGGCTTGTTTAATGTCGACACGGGCAGGGCAAAGGGCACAGAGTGGAGGATGAACTTCTCTTCGAACTGTGGTCAGTTCTCAGACGTATCCTGACCAAGGCCTTGGTGCGTGGAGTGCCCCGAACAAGGCAGAATTCCATATTACAAGTTACTTTGGAAAGGTGAAATTTACGTAAGGGGTCATTGGCGCACGATGTAATTCGATGAAATATACACATTAATTGAGTCTCTTGGGCCCTTATAGAGTGCCCCATGGTTTGTTTTCAATTTCCTTTATTATCCTCCTGCTGTCAGTTCTGATACGAGTTGAATGATGGCGGTGTGCCTGCAATATCTCATTGTGGCTCATCGAGCAGTAGCTTAGTCAAGAGCTGTGCCGCAAGTAAGGCAGTCTACACGTTCCCTCCAAGTGCCACTATTTTCAGCACGGTCTTGCCTATGATCAATGATTTCCCAATGCATTGGCCCGTCTTTTGTAATGAGTGCTGCCGTGAATAAACCATCATGTAATTCGCTACTGGTAATTTTGCTCATTTTTGACGAGGACAGGTTTGACGGATCCTATAGAGCTTGGAGGCGTTATCTGAGATACCGTCAGTGTTTTATCGGAGACATTCTTTGGACTGTTTTGTGCCGCCTAAGCGGTCGTATACTCTCTTCAATACAGCATCCCGCAAGCATTTCTCATGTAACCACTGCTCGCAGTGTTGACTTGTGCAGCCGACTAAAAGTTCATCTGGATGTGCTGGGGTGCTACAATTGCAGATCAACTCTGCTGACTATGTAAGGCGTGAGACTTCTATATAGGGGCAAGGGTACTAGGTGAGGCGGACATACGGAAAGCTCCAGCGTCGCAATATTGAATGCTTGCCGCCAATATAAAGTATGGTGAGTTTCATCGTCGTTTGATTCAATCCATTGATGCACTAGGGCTTCTGCGACAACGTTGACGACGTTGATAATATCATGCCGCCACTGAGTACCTACCGGGAAGCTCGCTTCACGACACGTCACTTGACGTCAATTTTTGAGTGGTGAGTCACTCTCGACAAGGTTGCTAATGTTTGTCGAGTTTATGGTCTTTCCTAATCTCTGGAGACGCTGGTACACGCTGCATTCACGCTGCTCTGGGAGGCGAGGTATCATTTCGTGCAAAAAGGGAAGTGGAAACTAAGAGAGAAATTAAGAAGCTTTGGTTCGGCAATGAAATCCTCGTATAGTATACCTGTTGCAGTTAATATCGCAGTTACTCGGGCACAGCCTTTCCCCGCATGCTGGCTGGACTGGCATCTGGAGGTTGCAGCGAATGTGACTTTCCTTTCCTTCATGTCGCCTGTTTATCCAACTTCTGTCTTCATCTGCCTGCCAAGTCTACTGACCCAGGTATACATTGACAGAAGCTCTTCTTCCTAATGTATATGTAGGTAAAACCTGCAATGTTCATGTCAACCTGCCGAGACCAATAGCAAAACTTCATTTTCTCTATTCCAAATTGACTACAATAAGACAATATAAATGCGTCCTCTAAAACTGAATGCAAGTCCATGTAGCAACCAGCCCCCTCCTAGAACACTTTCACCACGTTGACCCCAAGTTTTCTCTAACCAACCCCAACGTGCATGCCATTTCCACCTGAAACCACTCAGGCCGTACCAAACGCCTTATCAAACCCGGCCAGAGTACATCGGTACCGAAATTTGCTTTCCTTCTGTTTCTCAAACGCTTCCCCACAGTTCTTTTCAGAGATAGGCATGACCTCAACCCACGGTCGAACTCCTTTCTCAGCCGCAAGCTTGAGAAGTGCATCCATCTCCTGGTGGTTGCCAAGATGACTTCCAGTCAACTTCGGCGCACCTCCAGCAAATAAGCCGGCAGACATTTCAGGCAGCGGGTTATCTGGAATGCCGACCATGTGAAAGTCGCCGCCGGGCTTAAGAATGGATAGATATGCCGACATGTCAAACTTGTCCGTGACATCTGCGCAGTTCATAACGATGTCAAACTTGGATTTCCAAGGCTCGTTCCAACCTTCTTTGGTAGTCACGATGACATCTTTCGCACCAAGCTGTTTGCAGTCATCCGCCTTGTTGGGGGAGTGAGTGAGAGCATATGTCTCTGCGCCTAGAGCAGCCGCGAACTGTACGGCAATATGGCCCAGGCCGCCAATTCCCACGACGCCTACTTTCTTGCCGGGGCCGATATTAGCTCTGACCAGGGGAGAGTATGTTGTGATGCCAGCGCAGAGAAGCGGCGCCGCGACGTTCGTCTCCAACTTATCTGGGATCTTGAATGTGAAGTATTCATGGGCCCGAATATGTGATGCGAATCCACCGTGAGCCCAGCTGCCATCCGGATACTGTGAGTTGTATGTATCGACCAATTTGGGGCAATAATTTTCATTCTTGTCTTTGCACAGATCGCATTCGAGGCATGCCCAGACTTGAGCGCCGACTCCTACGCGGTCGCCGACCTTTAAGTTCTTGACGTGCACTCCAACCTTGACTGCTTTGCCGACAACTTCGTGGCCGACGCACAATGGACCTTGATATTCACCCCATCCTCCTGTGACTGTGTGAACGTCTGAGCTGCAAATGCTGCAGGCTGCGATTTCGACGTCGATGTCGTGGTCACCGAATGGTTTGGGCTGCAATTCAGACTTGTGGAATTTATTCCACGACTTTGGTCCATCGACGCAGAAACCTGTAAAAGTGTCGGGGTAGCCCATTTTAGAAGCTGGTAGATGTGTTTCGTATAAAATATGGGAGTGAAAGGTACTCAGGTTTGTAGGGTAGTTTCGAGATATTGTTGTGCAGCAATGATGAAAAAGGAAATGACATTCGCTCTATATGATATTTTTGCTGTAAGAGAAGTGGACATGCGGAAGTATGGCCGAAGAATCTCTCTAATCATTGTGACGTTGGTAGTTGTGATGGATGATGCGCATGATGTTTGGACTACGTCATGGAGACTCCAAAATAGCACAGTAACGGTGTCGCGCCGAAGCATGATATGCGCGCGAAGTTTTCCAAGTGGAACAATTCCATTTATATGTCGCCATGAATGTCCACTGCTTACCTCGCATCGAAACAGCTAAACTATCCAATTGGGCATTGTGTCTACAATATTACTTACACGCCAACTAACGAACGAGCAACCAGTTTAAACGTCACTCAATCTGGCGTACTCCGAAATAACCATATGTGAAGCAATTCGAGCTCAAAAGCCCACCAGATTGAACAGAATACAACATGCCAGGCGAAGTCATTGATCAGCCTAATCCTCCGCCTCTCCCAAGCCAACTTCCGGCGATGGTGGAGGAATTGGCAGTTCATCCACGCAAAATCTCATTACGCAGTCAAATATCGCAATCGCTCAGAGAGTTCCAGCGAGCAGCATGCTATATTGCGAGTGGTTAGCGATTTTACATATTGGGAAGTGCTTTTGATCCTTTAGCTGACTGATCGTAGCCATGATATTTTTGAGAAACAATATCATGTTGGAACGTGATTTAGAGCTGGAAGACGTTAAACCTAGACTATTGGGTAGAGCTTCGCCATCCAAATTAACGCAATGACACAAAACGCTAACCAATTGAAGGTCACTGGGGTACTTGCCCTGGGTTGGTGCTTATCTGGTCGCATTTGAATCTCCTTATTCGGCTTCGATCCGTGGACATGTTGTTTGTCATTGGACCTGGCCACGGTGCTCCCGCTGCCCTCGCTTGCCTCTGGCTCGAAGGCTCACTCGAGCGGTTCTATCCGAAGAAATATCCCACAAACAAACAAGGACTTCACAATCTCGTTACGAATTTCTCACTTCCTGGAGGCTTCCCTAGGTGAGTGTCGGAAATGGGATCAATAGAATACGGAGGCTTTTGCTAACAGAAGTAGTCACATTAATCCTGAAACTCCAGGTGCTATCCATGAGGGAGGTGAGCTTGGTTATGCTCTCGCAGTCTCATTTGGAGCCGCCATGGACAACCCGGACCTGGTGGTTACCTGTGTCGTAGGTGATGGTGAGGCCGAGTCCGGCCCTACAGCAGCGTACGTTTTAATATGACCCGTCAGCAACCTTAGCTAACAAATCTCAGCGCATGGCACTCTATCAAATATTTGGACCCAGCTGAGTCTGGGGCCGTTATTCCAATTCTCCATGTAAATGGTTTCAAAATTAGCGAGCGCACTATATTTGGCTGTATGGACAACAAAGAGCTTGTGGCGTTATTTTCAGGTTACGGTTACCAAGTGTGCATTGTGGAAGATCTGCAAGATATTGACGCCGAGCTATCCAGCGCGCTCAATTGGGCGCTGGATGAAATTGACGCTATCCAAAGCGCTGCGCGGAGTGGGAAACACATGACTAAACCTCGATGGCCCATGATAATTCTTCGAACCCCGAAGGGCTGGTCAGGCCCAAGAGTAGTTGATGAGAAGATTATCGAGGGTTCATTCCATGCCCATCAAATCCCCGTGGCTAAAGCCGGCCAAGACAAACACCATCTTCAAATCCTCCAAAATTGGTTGCAAAGTTATAATGTGCAGGAACTATTAGCGGACGGACAACCAGCTGAAAATTTATTGAAGGTTTTGCCTGAAGAGGATTCGAAGAAGCTCGGTCAGCTCAAAGCATCATACGACTCCTACCAACGGTTAGACCTACCAGACTGGAAGCCATATGCGGCTGATAAGTCGGACCAAGCAAGCAGTATGCACCAGTCGGGACAGTTCCTCAACGAGGTTATCAAGCACAATTCATCCACCTTTCGCATCTTTTCTCCTGATGAGTTGGAGAGCAACAAGCTCAGCGCCACCCTGGAAAACTCTAGCCGAAACTTCCAATGGGATCAATACTCTCGTGCTCAAGGTGGGCGAGTAATCGAGATATTATCAGAGCATTGCTGCCAGGGCTTTCTGCAGGGCTACACATTGACTGGTAGGACCGCCGTCTTCCCAAGCTATGAGTCGTTCCTGGGCATAATTCACACCATGATGGTTCAATACGCCAAGTTCTCAAAGATAGCTGGCAGTTTGGAGTGGCGAGGGGATTCCAGCTCTATCAACTACATCGAAACAAGCACATGGGCAAGACAGGAGCACAACGGCTTCTCTCACCAGAACCCATCCTTCATTGGAGCTGTACTAAACTTGAAAGCCAAAACTGCTCGGGTGTATCTTCCCCCAGATGCAAACTGCTTTCTTAGCACTTTGCACCACTGTCTGAAGTCTAAAAACTATGTTAATCTCATGATAGGCTCAAAACAGCCCACCCCAGTGTATCTTTCCCCGGAGGATGCAGCCGCGCACTGTAAACGGGGCATATCAACCTGGGAGTTTGCATCCACTCATTCTGGAGAGGATCCAGACGTGGTGCTAGTAGGCATCGGTGTCGAGGTCACATTCGAAGTCATCAAAGCCGCGGAGCTCTTGGCGATAGTAGTACCGGATCTTCGCGTCCGAGTGATAAACATTACCGATCTTTTGGTGCTTCCAGCAGAATCAATCCACCCACATGCGTTGTCCAGGCGCGACTTTGCCGAAATGTTTACGCTGGAGAAGCCGGTCTGCTTCAATTACCACAGCTATGCGACGGAGCTACAAGGTCTCTTGTTTGGGTGCCCAGGCTTACATCGTATGAGTGTAGAGGGCTACAAAGAGGAGGGCAGTACCACTACGCCTTTTGATATGATGCTTGTGAACGATGTCAGCCGCTTTCATGTTGCCTCGAGAGCTTTGAAAGCAGCAGCAGGTCGGTGCGAGGCTGTAAGCGACAATTTGGATAGTTTACTGAGCAAAATCGACAAACAAATGAAAGATGTCCAAACGTTTATTGCAGAAAAAGGAAAAGGTGCGTGTTTGACTTATGCCTGTTGAAGATTGTGGCTAACGAGACACAGATCCGTCCGACATATACGAGTGGAAGCCTCGGGATGCACAGGGCGAGGCTTGAGCTTAGGTAACAAGCGGTGTCGTTAGGCCGGCTCTTACTTTTCAAGTCATGTTCCTCTCAATAACACTGAAACATATTATACAGAGGTACCTGGATGTTGGAAACATTGGTGTTGATAATATCTACTCTAAATTGCTTTCGTGATATCTTGGCCCATGACACAGAGTACTGGCATTATGGCGTCCTATAGCTCCGTTCACAAATAGCGAAACGCCTACAAAGTGAATTGAACGATTTATTTGATGAATGGATTTCGCCCTCAATGAGCTTTAGCTTCGGTCGGGGGAGCATAATGCTAATGTATCCATTCCCGTTACGCACCCAGAGCCTCCTTCTGGGCCTTACAGCATGCTCCTGTGGCAACTTGCATGGGGTTTCAGGAACCGGGAACGGGGCAATCACCGAGCAAAGCAATCGGGGTGTGAAGCCTCTGGCAATTGATACTATGAAGTAGCTTTTGGAGCATGCTTTATTCTTATGCCGTTTTAGCCGTGTAACCCGTGTAACATGCCCGACATTTATCCTTTCACTTCGCCGACAGACAATGCGTCTCCTTACGGATAGAAGGATGGGCGAAGAGGAAGCGAGTCTATGGTTGCAAACACGACGTAACTGCAAACATTCCCTCGATAATTTCAATTTAGGCTTTCGTGCTGCCCAGAGACCCCTAAAATGGCCTCAAAGGCGAATACTGCTGAAAAATGGATTGTCGATATCGGATGAACGTTCAAGCTCTCTGAGCGTGGCCAATGCAAGGTGTCCTTGCCGTCAGTCGACTAAGCCCTGGGGTAGCCAGAGCATCCCCGATGTGTTGATTCAATGTTGGCTCTTTCAACCCAAGACCACGACGTTCCCAAAACTCCCTTTTGCTCTTATCCGCTTTCCAGCTAGCATACCAGATCCACCTGTCGAAGTTTCTCTAACTACTAACCCTAAGCTGGATTCCACTCGAAATGATGGGAACCTTTGGCTACGGGTCCAGGATCTTCTCCCTGCACACCAGGCTCATTGTAAGCATGAGCCACAAAGTAATCCATTTGCGCCTCCATAAACTTGGTGGGAAGCATTGTGCCCCCGGTATACTTAACGTACTCGAGCGTAGCAGAAAGGGCAGGCAAATAATGGTCTGCCGCCAGCCCTCGCGAGACAATATCCTTCAACGCCGTAAAGTTTCATTGTAACTCTCGTCCAACGCAGCTGTTCAGTTTTGCATTCGTAAATGACTCGTTCTCTCTCAGAAATGGCTCGAGAAGGTCAGCGATGAATTCTGATTGAATGATACACCCTGCGCGCCATATTCGAATGCATTCAGACAAGCTGATATCCCAACCCTCGTCAATCGACGCACGTGCAATTAGCTCCAGTCCCTGACAAAAAGAAGCAAGGAAGGTGAAGTAGACAGCCCTGCGGAGATTTTCAATCATTTGACTCTTATCCTTGATATCTGTAAATGACTTTGGGTCGGGCATGGACAGCCTTTCGGCAACCTTTAGTCGTTCCTCACGATTACCAGAGGCCACACGAAAGTAAAATCCTGCTGCGAGTGTTGGACAAGATACGTGTCTCATGGCAGACTCCATAATAGACCATGACGGTGTTCCTTCTGTAGAGTCGTCATCTTGTACGACCTTGTCGAGTACATCATCGAGGGCGTAGCCACGCTCATGTTTCGCTGCCTCGCCATTCGCGTTCTTTCTTGTCCGGCAAATATCCGAGGCAATTTTGACCAAGTAGTTGGTATGTAGTTCACCGTCTGTGTTCCATGTCTCGAATATTTCACCAATCTCCTTGTAGCCAAGCCCCATTCCACTATGCATGAAACCCCATGCTTCACAGATGACAGAGAGCATGCCAACCTCAATGCCGTTATGGACCATCTTCACGAAGTGTCCTGAGCCACCTGGTCCAATGTTGGAAACGCAAGGTACACCAGATTTGGGGTCTTTAGCGGCATATAGCTCCAGCAGCGGTATAACTTCCTCCAATGCGACATTGCTTCCACCAGGGGACATGCTTGGCCCATGGCGAGCAGACTGGTAGCCCCCGGAAACGCCCATTCCGATCCAATCCACGCCAATATCTTGGCATTCTCTCTGTCTTCTCTCGGTGTTTCGATAGTGTTCGTTGCCGCCGTCCAAAATTATGTCGCCTTTCGTTAGGGGTTTCTTGATTTTCTTCAAGACTTCATCTGCCGGGGTGCCATGCGTAATGGAGAACAGAAACAGTCTTCGGCCACCGCGATGCTCCAAGCTATCTGCAAACTCTGAAATGTCGTGGTATCCTGCAATATGTCTATTTAGGCCTTTGGCCTGCTCGACTTTTTTCATAAAGTTGTTGACATTTAAACTCTTAGCATCCCAGATAGAGACGTCGAGGCCTAGTTCAGAAAAGGCGAACCCCATCATAGAGCCCATATTGCCTGCCCCAACGATGCCAATTCGTTTCCATTTCATTGCTGTATCTGATTGAGCACGCATGGTTGCGATTTATACCAGCTTTCCTGGTAGGTGGTCAGATTGAAACACGCACGGCAGAGCGCCCTCATTTAAGCATCCATATCAACGGGATGTTCCCAAAGACGAAAAATTAGTCCATTTACTAATGGCTTTTGCCACATCGGAGTCTACTAAACTAACATCAGCGTCATGTTGCATTCAATGATGCAATTAAATCGACAGGCCTCAAAGCATCACCATGACGTTATGTTGCCGGAATAAACGCCATTTTGCAAAAGAAAATCACCATTCTATTAGAAAAGTAGACCTAAAACGATGCAACTGAATCTACTCTTTAAATTCTCGCGTCATGGGTATTCAGTATCAGGGGCACAATATTCCAATCTCGTTTGCATCATGCAGCATCCCTCTATACTACAATGTAAGACTACCTCGGACTTTGGAAGCCATTCGCAACGCCGGATTCGATGGCATAGAGATTTCCATGCCAGACATACTGGCATATGGCAGCGATCTTGAAGGAAAGACGGTTCGCGAGGATGATTACGACACCCTCTCCGATGTTGGTGGGAAGATTCGCATTCTAAGTGATCAACTTGGGCTTCAAATCCTGATGCTACAGCCATTTTCGAGATTCGAAGGACGGTCAAAAGATACACACTCACAGCAGCGAAACAAAGCATTTACACGTGCCAGGGGATGGATACGAGTTATGGAATCACTGGGCACCGACATGTTGCAGGTACGTCCATGGTGCAACTGTGTAGTTAGGATGCAATAGTTGCTAACTACCTTAAGGTTGGCTCATCAGACGCAGAAGACATATCACCTTCCTTGGAAGAACATGCCCAGGATTTGCAAGAGTTGGCAGACATGCTTGCAGAGAAAGGGTTCCGACTCGCGTACGAAAACTGGTGTTGGGCCACATACGCCCCAGCATGGAAAGACGATTGGGAGATATCACACATGGCCGATCGCAAAAACATTGGCCTCTGTCTAGATACTTTTCAGTCGGCAGGGGGGGAGTATGGTGATCCATCAACCGACTCGGGCTTCATTGAACACTTTAGCTCAACTGAACTTGACAGCCGATGGAAGCATAGTTTGACCGAATTGGAGCATACTGTGCCTGGAGACAAGATATTTCTGCTTCAGGTTTCAGATGCATACAAAATGAAGCCACCTCTCCGTGACACAAAAGAGAGGGCGAGGTCGGCGTGGAGTCATGACTATCGGCCGCTGCCCTTTAAGGGTGGTTATCTCCCGATTCAGAGCTTTTTGAATGCAGTGCTGCGAACTGGCTTTAGGGGGTGGTTGTCCGTGGAGGTTTTTGACTCCAAGCCGAAGAAAGGCTCGTCGATGGAAGAGTATGTAGAAGCAGCTGTGCAGTCTTTGACTCGAATGCTCGTTGCTACCGAGTGAAGAATCATGGATATACCAGCATGGCTATGGGATACATTTACCGATCTATCTCCTGGTAGAGAATTTCGAGTGTATTATGCTAGATTAGTGTTTTAATACTTTAGACTCTTAGTATTGTCCGCAAGGTGATACCCATTGGCACTAGCAATTCACTTAAGAAGCTCAGAATGACTGTCAAGTCTGCTCCATTTCGGTTTCCCATCGTCAAAAGAAACAACTCAACCAGGTATTTTATTCACTGAACCTCAAGATTCGCCCTCTGTTCGGAAGTCATTGACAAGAGTGGTGGAAAAACAAGAGCCACATTCCTGCCTTCGTCCAGTATATGTGATCCGCAATGTGAACAACTGACTTTACATGGTAGCTCAAGATGAGCCTCGTTTTTGGCTGAATTATAGAAACTTGAGATGGTCGGCGCCCTTCTCAAAAGCCACATCGTACTTTTGAAAGATAGCTGCCCATTGAAATGGAGCACCTGGGTTGTCCAGAAGGTTGTCAGCAGTAACCCAATGGCGCAGACTTGATTGCGGATGAAGGGAGCATATCATGGATTGTTTCACACCCGTTACAGTGGCAGAATTTAGAAGCCAACAGCTTGCTACTGCTTAGCCAATACACAACTACTCCGCAATGGCATGAGCCGCGAATTTCCCGCTGGAATTGGCTTCCCGGTGGTCGATATGGCGGCTTGTGTCGCCATTCTTCAGAAGTCATTCTAGGATACTGATTGGCTGCCCGATGAAAGTTACGCCAAATTACCCGAGTTCTGAACATATAAATGCGATGCCGGTACGGTTGAAGCTTGTTTTAGATTGGAAAGTTATTAGTTCAGGTCATAATTCTGGTCTCCGTCCGCTCTGCACGGCCATTGGACACCCCAACAAAGAAGGCTGACAACTCACCGAGTAACTGAGCGGCCTAGAGCAGCAAAAGTATAATTACGTGAGGCTTGCGTGACTTCTTGAACGGAGAGTTCAGGTCGAAACGGCGCAAGCTCACCACATAGCAAGTCATGACGTCACGGTTTACTCGACACATTACTACTATCTGAGGACAATGTCGACGTAGTGATTGTATCACAAGTCTGCACGAAAGACGTGGTAGACCAGGGTGCTAGCAAGATGTAAAGTGTTGGTGCGTCGACATGAGTTTATTAAAGATTGACGCAGAGAACTTCAACTCTCATGCCAGAAATAAAATAGTCCAGAAAGCCAATCGCAACTTACACAAGTCACAACACTGATCGACCCTCGTGGTGAAACCAGATTTCGGATTAATCTTGTATCTTCACTTCTCGCGTCATATGTGCATGAACTGCCGCGATATAACCGACATCATAAACACAAAGGCCAGCACGTCTTTCGGCCAGCATGTCAAAATCCACGACTGGGGATCATCATCAGCACCAGACAAATGGCCAGAACATCAACAGTCCGCCAGGACGACTCCTACGGCGGGTGAACGACACCTGGGAAGATGTTCTCTACTACATCGGAACAATATATTATAAACTTGGAGGGCGATGAAGGAATCGGGCGACAGATTCGCATAGTGTCCATGTCAGATTTAGCTCCAACACTAGCTTCACGTGTTCTATTGTGCTATATGCTGGACAAGGTGTTGAAACCTAGAAGGCAAGGCAGCTTAACTTTACATTGCGATAGCGTGGGCATTAGGCTGAATTTTATGTTAGCAAAGCTTGCAAATAGAAGTGTATGTGTGATATGACGTCAGTTGATTCAACCACTCGAAGCCATCGGCTTCATGGCTTCCTCTCCTCCTTAATTCATCGCAATCATGGGCTTCCTTGAGGTACTTTGTGTGCAGACATGAATAGAATGGCCACTGAGAGCGGTTATCACCTCTTTTGCTGTTCCATACATCTGAGTCCAGTATTTTGCACATGTATTCCCGAGCAAATAAGCAGCGACTTTAATGAGTTTCCATAATCGTCGGCCGATACAGGCTATGCGTGCTGTTAAAAGTCAGCTTTTGGAATACAGTTGGTTCGCCCACACAGACCCAGAAGCTAAGACACCTGCCCAAGAGAACGTGTTTTGACTGCGCCGTCTCGCTTCACACTAGAAGCCAAACTTCAGAGCTTCTGCACTGGGGTCGGCCAGGAGCGACGGGGACCTTCACTTTGGCGTGTCAGATCCAATCTCAGGTCATTATGTTAATTAGGTTAACTGCAATGGTCTCAAAGTATGTACAGTCATAATACGACAAATCCAGGACCTGCTGGTGTTGTCACAGTGAACTTAGTGCACGCATCCGAATGTGAGTGAGCGAGTATATAACAATGATTCACCCGAGAAGCGGGATCGACTGAAATTCGTCTGGAAGAGGATATAAACAAGATTTGGAACCAATAAGGACGTATTCCCTCTTAGTCTGCACATCCGCCCCTTTTGCTACCGGCTCGGCCACATCTCCGCCTGTGGGCAAGGGTTACAGCACTGACCCTCCAGTTTCTGTCGTTTTGGCGGGTGAAGGTCGTCAATATGTGCTTTTTGATGGGTTAGAGGCTGGTCCCATGCTGTGTATCTGTTTTGTTTTGCTGGAAGGTTGCAGGAAAGTATGATGTTTCTTGCCCTAATGGCCTCTGGTGACATATACGACGGAATAATCTGATCGCTTCCCCCAGGTGAGTGGTTATCGGAAGTCGAATTGTCGCCGTATGCCACTTCTGTCGGGATCGAATGCTCTTGTGGGCTAGGTGTCGATAATGTTTCGCAGGGGTTAACGTACAAAGGGAGGATTCCAGGCCCCAATGGCTCCTGATCAGGAACTCCAAAAGTCTGTGCTGTAGCAATAATTTGCGGGGGCATTACGTAGTTCAACTGCTCTGAGGCGTCAAGTCGGTGATCTTCTTGCCACATGTGTTGCAAAGGCGATGTGCTGTCGAAGGGGAGTGCTTCGATGTGCGCTGCCCTCCCGACTTGGGTATTTAGCGGAGTGTCATCAAGTCTACATATGTGACAGGTTGGTATTATCGCCGAAGTATTTGATGAAGGAGGGGTGATTTCATCTATACTCTCGCTGGAATATGATGGAATTCCCGAATCCTCGTCCGACTTGTTGCTGGACGGTGTAAGAAGATCGGTCGATACCATAACGCCGCCCTTTGAAGTCTCCAACTCGCGGAACGCACCAGTGTCATGCGAATGAAAGGGCAGCAGCATAGTGGCGAATTGTTTTCTCATAAACAACAATTAATATTTTCGAGATCAAAATAGGTCTTGTTCGGATGCCGATTGTAAAGAGTCGCCAAGTACATCTAGGCTTTACGGGTTCTTATAAGCCAGGCTACTCATTCAATGGCAAGAAAGATGGCGTATAGAACCATTTTAAGTTCTGGCTGGGGAAGAAATCACCCCAACTGACGTCACTGGGTAGAATTCATCAGACGGCATAGAAGGGAAACAGAGAGGTACCCATTGCGTGGTGGTGTTTGCTTCACCTTGAATCAGGGGTCCGGAGCCACGCCCACCAACAGGATCTCCTGGAGGCTAGACCGAACTAGACCCCGACGACGGTGTCTCGTCTACTGTGCGGCTGGACTACCCACATACACAGGGATGCTGGAAGATTCGAAGGCGATACGTAGCGATCCGAGCATTTCCATTCGTGGTGTGGCCCGCAAGCCACGATCCTAAGTCGTCTGGTTGAAATTCCTCATCTCAAGAGGTGGTTGATTTCGCCAGCTTCGCGGTTCCAGCACTTTTCACTGGTGGTTACGTTGCAGTAAACCTGTTTTGAGGGAACTGAGGCTAAAGGGAAGCCCCCGCTAGACAAAGACACAAACATAGCCAAGAGACTGAGTCAATAGCGGGCGGGAACAAATCTTGGGCTGAGGAACCTTTCATGCCCTGTGCGTGCATCCCACTTACGCTTTCGGGCGGTTTTAATTCTTGTGGAGAGAAATCTCCAGAAACTGCTGGCGCATTTTCCTGGCGTTGGCGTCTGAGACCCAAGCCAGTGATTGTACCCCAGCCTGTTGGCCAGCCTCTGTTTTGTCTCTTTTGACGAACGGCTCTCCTGCAACTTGTTGTATTGCATATTCCTGATTGAATATTGCATAAAATATTACGATTTTCGCGAGTGAGTGTACTAGTGTAGTCTCCTTCTGAAATGTTCATATGAGAAGGATCTTAGAGGCTGAATACGGAATGTGAGATACCAGACGCGGTGGCTATGAGGGCCTGCCATACTACAAGTCATGTTAACGGATTAAAACCACGAGGGATTGTTAGAAGAACCAAGTGTGTAAGACCGTGAACTTCTGGTTGAACTACATCCACGCGCGTCTGGTACCATTCTTGATTCGCTCAGTTCTTTGGTTCATGTACCGTTGGCAGCTCTTCCGCCAATTCCCCGACCGATTTTGCCACCATGGGTAGCCTTTGCCTGAAGTGTGGGATGTTTAGACTTCCAACTTTCAACCATGCTACAAGGTGGCTGACATCCTGGTCGACAGTGTCTTACTATTGTGAGCAGGTGACTCATTTCAGAGTTCGTTTTCTCTGATGTGGAGGACTATGAATCCCATGGCAAAGATTATGTACATGAATATCTGATAAGCAATAAACGTGGCGTGATACCTGATGCAGCCCTGACGTATCTTTTTCCTTGCCATCACCAATGGCGTTCCTGAAGTTGGTTTTCTCTCAATACTTGGCACAAAGTAACTTACTCCGCAGGGCAGCATGTCAATCATGCCTCCAGTTAAAATACTTCGTACCATTTCTTAGATCATAATTACTTTTGGGCACCTTGCACACTAGTCTGTTGTCAGCGTTGTGTGTGTCTTCCGGCCGCCTCTTCGTAGCCTTCAATTCGTGGGGATGTCTCAGCGCTAATTCGATGCGGTAGCTACTGCGTCCATTCCAGTGGGCCAAGATGTTGGCCGTGGTCGCGTTTCATGGGCTTCTGAAAGATTTCGAGGATCAGGTCGTACGTTGTGCGAATGTATTGTAGAGAGCCCCAAAGGTCCTAAGTTGCATGATTGCACCAACGATGCAACTATTGCCACCGAAAAGAGGCTGAGCCATAGTAAATTCGGCGACGGTAAAATTGCAAGACTGCTTCGAAGTCACTAGGCCTTGCAAGGGTGAGTGTATTACGGAGCCTTTGCACGCTGACGCAAAGCGATGGTTACATTGTGACGGGGAGAGTTTACAAGTTTATGCTGGTGGCCACATGTAGCTTCATATATGAGTTGGGGTAATTGCATGATACTGATTTGTACTTTTCCTCATATCCAATGACGACCACAATATTGAACAAAGTAGCACCCTATTACTCTGCTTGATGTAAGAAGCAAAATCTTTTAGATATCTGTATCCTGCGTAAGAGATACTGACGATTCAGAAGGTTATCCTCCAATATGAACAATCCAAGTCCATGTCACCCCCCTCCTTGTCCTGGGCCGCCAACAGATCGGCCACTGCCCCCTTTGCCAACCAAGCGCGCTGTTGCATAGATCACCATGGAAGAAATTTTTAGGAAACTCCGATGCTTGTAGATATCAAGTACGTACTATGCAGTAATTATCATCATAGACACCTTTCTTTTGACTTTGGTGGTTATTTATAAGTCTGCCTTGCCTTCTCCAAATGAGGTGTAGAGCTCGTCATCGAGGAGGTACCTGCCAACCGTTTTGGACATGCAAATGACTCTAGGCTCTAGAACTTTGTGGAGGCACGTATCATTTCGCAGGCCTAATATGACGTCTTCTACACTTGGTTGACTGAGGGACTGCACACAAAGGGTACCCTGTGCTGCTTGCTGCACCAATTCCTGCTCTTTTCTAACGCTTGAAAGATCTCCAAGCTTGGCCATCTTACCATTATTTGCTGACGATCACTGCGTTCAAGTCGCCACATTAATAAGACATTCAAGAATTTGATCAAGTCCCGTCCAAGTGTTATCGCGTCGTCAGTACGATCTGGATTTACCGCCAGTATAGGGACACATCTGGAAGCCGCAAGGATCCTATCCAGGGTAACTCCATTTAAAGAATTCCAAGCCATTTCAAGATACCTCGAACCTTCCAGTAACGATTCTATATCATCAGCCGAGCGAGTGTGAGTAAAATGCTTTGCAAGACTGCAGCCAAGATTGCCCAGTATAGCTGCGCGAGAAGGGTGATCATGTGGCAGGTAGTCTAAACACTGGCGACTCAATCTGATAGACTCGTTGAGATCTTCAATTTTCCGTAGCTTATCATAGCGGATGGCGAATTTATTCGAAAGATTGTTGATCTTTGAAAAATCTGGCTCTTGTGTGTACAATATTACGGCCTTTTTCGCGAGCTTGATTGCCTTATCCAAATCTCCAGTATCGTTGTTGGCGTCACCACGTCGCTCAAGCAGATTAGCAAGAGTATCCAAACAATCCGCATGAAGCAGCACCGGCTTCCTTCGTAATTTAACAGCCTTTACTAAAACGTTTATGCCCTTCTGCAAAGTATTTTTGTCACCGGTTCGTCGATATAGTTGCAAAAACCCAGAGCCGAGCCACTCTAATCCGCGGGCTAGATTCGTATTGTCGTCCATAACCAACTCAAGAATCTCCTCTGTAATTTTTATCGACTCTTGTAAAATAATTCTAACTGGCTGCCGATGGTAATAGGTGGCCAGCTTCAACTGGAGATTAATCCTCCACTATAAACGATCAGGGCTGTCGGCTGGAAGTAAATATACGGAAGCTCTTGCCAAGTAGATGGCACGGCTTAGGTCTTCCATTTCCAGGGTTTTATGATAGCTGCTTTCTAGTTTATTGCCAAGGTTATTGATCCAAGTTCTGTACTTTAGATTGTCTGGTGAAGATCCATCGCAAGCCTTTTGAAGAAGTTCAAATTGACTCTTTAAGATGCTCATTCTTTTTAGTCTTGTCATATAGGTAGCCTAGACAAACTGCAAGAGTATTACACCATTCTGCTAATCTCGGGTCGTTGTCTGTTGTCAACTCAATGGCTTGTCTCGACTTGCTAATAGCTTCGTGTATAACGTCTTCTTCCTGGGTTTTTTTCATAGAGCTTTAGAAGCTTTTTTGCGAGATTATTAAGCCAACCTGCTCTCTGAGCATTTGCTGACGATTCTATCAAAAGAATATTTCGATTTTCGGCAATCGCGGTATTCAGGTAGTTGATGTTATCTTCTCGTACACTCTTTTCAGCGAGCATATTAGCGAGTTTATTCAGTCTTGTCCCAATATCTGGGTCATCACGAGCAGTTAACTTCACATATTTGTTAATAGCGTTGAAAGCTTCGTCGAAGTCTGCCTGATCGTTTGTCCACAGATAGTTTTCCTGAAGTGCAACGCTATAGTTGCATAAACACCCGGGGTTCTCTGGTTGAAGTATAAGGCTCTCCTTGGCGCAATCCACTGCTGATATGAGAACGGCCTTACTTCCCGAGTTTCGATACTCGGAGAATAGTTGAACGGCTAGTGATGCCCACAACGCAGGCGTACGACTACTATCCATCCTAACACCAGCCCGTTCAAGAACATTGTCTGTTCCCTGTTGTATCTTACGGATCTCTGATTTAAAAAAGGTAGTCAAATCCATAATGCATGATGTCTTTATAGTAGAACCGTGATGCCCCCCCCCCCCCCCCCGCCCCCGGGGCCCGGTGCTTCTACAGACGCAGTGCCGTAGCGTTTGGCATCACAAGGCTGGATAGCCTAGAGTAACTGCACGCATAGTTTCAGTAGTCGAGATGCTTTTTTTCGACTGCAACCATCAACGCCACCAAATCGTACTCAGGGATGCATAATTTGTTTCTTAATCGAGTCGGCTACTCCGTGCTCTGGAAGAGGCCAGGGGTTTATTGCTATCAATTGATTAGCATAGAGAGAGCACCGGCACCCCCCCCCCCCCCCCGGGGGCACCGGTGCACGGTATTTATGTTGGTTTGGTTGAGCAGCTAGACTGTGGATCGGACACGTCCGCCATGCCCTATGCAGCACATCATTGCAGCACATCATTAGATATCATTACTTAGCAGATGACTGTTGAATAAATAGTGGAGACTTTAAGTGATCCATCGGCTGGGTTATTGTGGCTGACGCCTCGCCATTTGTTGCATATGCGTCAGAACCGATCTTAAGCCTCTTGTTGCCGTAGCCTGTATCGGGGAAGGTTGTTGCAGAACAACACGCGGTGAAACAGGAGATGTTGATCCACTGGTTGATGCCTATGCGCAGCTTTTCGGCACAATTTGATGAGCCGTGCATCGAAGTATATATGTCCCGCCAGTTCTCCAGGCGCGACATTCACTAACAGTAATCAGCTTGATGAACCCTGCGAAGAGGCGGAAAAGCTGCCACCTAGTCGTCGTGGCCCCAGAAAGGCTTACGACCTTCGCCCTCTCCCGCCGAAAGGGCAACTCACCGCGGAGCAAAAGGATAGTGGGACTAACGAACAGCTTGTGCCACAACGCAAGCTGTCACAAGCTTGTACGTAGTTCGAAGCTAACGCCAAATCGGAAAGCACCCTTGAGTATTTAATTAGAAGCGACATTGGTGGGATTCAATTTATTCTATTTCGGGGGACGCATCACGTATTTGCCTCTCTCAGCCCTATCCCTGCTATAGTATCATTAAATGCCTTGATGATTGGATCGTACAGAATATTCGGATCCTGTGGAGTACCGGTGAAGAGACCATCCTTATGCGGGAACAGTACATCTCTTATTGTCCTACACAAAGGCTTGACACAATCAAATACTTGGGAACATTCCCTCAATATGGCTTCAAGGCCATTTTTATCCATATCGCCACGTTTGTTCCGCGCAATGTCCTTGTAGGTTCCAGTGTACCAGTGCGAAAGTATGGTCTTTGTCGCCGGCTTCTTCGAAGCACCAGCCAATGCCCAACCGCGGCGAGCGCATAGCCAGATGAGAACGTAGAAGAAGGCTTCAATATCGTGCCGATAAGTGTGCGAAATTCCCAGGAGCACTTCAATTGCCATGAACTCCATTGTGCCGGTCCGGTGTCTGGCCCCGCTAGGACCCTTGCCTTCTTCCTTTGCCAAGTCCAAGTCGATGAGCATGCCCTTAAAGCCGTCTGCCATTCCCGGATCGGTGATAATTATATTGTTTTCCGAGATGTCTCTATGCAGGATTTTGCCATCCATGTAGAGTGAGCGATGAACCTTGATAGCGTCACGAAGACTTTCAAGGAGTTCGACGACAGACTTGAATTGGCTGATGGATCGCCCTGCCGGAGAAATTGCCAGCACGCGAAAGATGCGGTTATCGTATGGTGCCTGGTTTTGCTGGACAAGGCTAGTACCTTGCGGTTCTTGAACAGGATAAGTGACCCCGTTTTCTGCTTGTTCTGTCTCTGCAAGCTGGCTGTTTGACCGAGATCTCTTAGATGAATGGCTTGACCAATCCGTTAGCTTCCGCTTGCCGTCTCCATTGCTGGCGATACTGAGGCCGTGAAACTGGCTGAAAGAGTGGCTCGGTGGAGGTTGTGATTGCGAAAAGGATGTAGTGGTACTGTCAGGCACACTACGAAACTTATGCGGAGCCGAGAAGACCAGACCTTCACGAAGCTTGCTTATGGTAGTGACTTCTTCATGGTAGCCAACCACTCTCGCGAGACCTTTAACGCCGCGTTCGTTTGCCTTGTTAAGAAGATCAGCCTCGGGTGGTCGCATATTAGAAGTCCAAGAGTATTTTACGACTGTATCAAAATCTCCTGCGCCAGCGGCCCTAGCGAGGAAGCAAGACGTGCCGCGACAGACAATGGCTCGCTGATGGGCGATCGGGTTGGGGTCGAGTTCGAGTTGATGTTTCCGCTTCTTCCCGCGGGTTTCAACAGGTATGGTGACAAACAACTTGTTGTCTTTTGCTTTGGTAAAGGTATCCAAGCCCAGCTCCTCGTCACTCATCATCAAATATCCACACATGACCCGAATGAACTTCTCGGGCTCCTCATGGATGTCAAACGTAGCCCCGCTGTACGGCCCAGACCGGTCAAAGATCCATGTCTCCATTTCTGTGCCAGTAAGAGAGAAGGCGTGCACAAAAAATCGTGTGGGCTGGTAGGCGAATACATTTCGCACAGCACTGCCTATCTGAAGCCATAGACTCTTGTTTGTCTGGTTGGATTGCTTAAGCTCGCCTACGATCATCCCGTGTCTCCAGTCGTGCTTCGCGTCTGCTGCGTCGACTCTTTTCATTTTGACAAAAAGATCCAGTTGACGTGACGCCTCAGCCCCAACTTTATTGCCTCCGTTGCTTCTGAAGTATGCGGCTCGTTCGGTTGCCAGCAGCTCTTCCTGCAAGTTGAGTAACCAGTCACATACCTCGTCTTCGGTGGCCGCGTCCGGCAATTGTGTCCATCTCTTCTCGCTCTCGCTATAGCGGCTCTTGACGCTTTGCCAAATTCGCTTGGCTCGCCTGTTCCATTTGTGTCTTTCAAAATATTTCTCATGGAAACCTTCTACTGCACGGTGCGTACAGTGGCGAATCTCTTCGAACACGCGAGGCTCGATCTTCCGTCGCGTCTGTTCTGGCCCTTGCTGCGAAGCAGATGAATGGGTTATCGGGGTTTCGAAGGATGGTGGGAGGCTCGGTGGTGGGGTGGAGTGAGAAATTGATCGCACGAGAGCTACGACGGCAGCCCAGATTTCGGTATCTGGCGCCTGCTTCATCACAAGTTGCGATAACGGGCGAAATTGTTTGTACTCAATGTCCCCCTTTTGAAAACGAGTGCGGACAACTCCCAGATCAGAGAACAGGGAGTCACGAGCAGTTCTGGAAGCAAGTGCTAGCGAAACATCAGATGCAGACAGTATTGAGAATAGCTTCCCTATGGCCGCCATGAACAAGCGCGGCCGTCCTGGCGCACCTGTGCTGTCATCTGATTGAGAAGCTTCGCGGCAGGTGTTTCGCTCTGCCTCGCGCAATGCCTCACGAACACCGCTGAGCGAGTCGCCGAGAGGATTTTCGTCGATGGAGTTGCACTCTTCTCGAGTAAGATGGGCCATTCTGTAGGCTACTATAAACGACGGAACATCATCAGTAGAATGAATTAGCAAGACGATCAGTGCATGCCATCCTGTCACGGGGGGCACAAGTTGAGAACAGGGAGCCCCAGGATAGATGGCAGCCAAGACGTTGAGTTTTGCTTAGTAAGCGGAACTGAACCCTTGGCAGCCCATAGGTTCGCGGGTACCGCGAATGCTGAGTCAGTAGGGTACCGGTACAAAAACTCCAACACCGCGAGTGACTAGATATCACGAGGCACTTGCTTAGTTTGCAGAAAGATAAAAGGAACAATAAACTATACTGCTACTGTGAGTATAACGACCAGAAATATCCACTATTGTGATTAGGCTTGCCGCCCGAAGATAGACCGCCACAACTTGGAGTACGTTACACCTTAGGTGTTGCGCCAATCAAGCGGCATAACAAGATAAGCTCAGCAGTGACATAAATGTTTCACACCTAAGTTCTCAGACAATAAATCAGTTTGAGTTATTTCCATCGATTTACCCCCAGTACAAGAAGCACCAGAGTCAAGTTATATATACTCATTATCCCATTGAGGCCGCTTCAATAGTTAGTGTCGTTGTACCATCTGTACATGTCGTAAGAGCTCCAGAGGCTTAGTAATTTGTGGGGAACTACAAAGCCAATCAGGTTGCTTGCATCAGGGATTTTAAATTCGCGGGTTACCGCGAACCTATGGGCTCCCTGGGAAACCCTTGGCTTCCACCAAAAAACGACTAACGGACTGGCCATGCCAGCGAAATCAACGCGATAAATTCCAGCGTAACGACTGCAGCTGTGTCCTTGGATGCAAGTGTGGAAACACTAACTCAGCTACCGTTCCTTGCTCTTCACTCTCGACTCCCAGCTCCTTTGCCAACGACTGAAGAAATTGAGACGTCAAGCGAGCTCCTTCAGGAATACACCGGCCGACGAATCGTGCGTTTCGGCGACCATTACATAATAAAATATGGCTTAAATGTGAGCCTGGTCGAGCGAGAATATGTTGCTGATCGGGAAAATACTGCCAGCCCATGTTCCAGAAGTATATGCCTTATATTCCACCAAAAATGATGCAGGCGGCATATTGTCCATTATATTGTCATGGAAAGAATCGCTGGAGATAGGCTTGACACCATATGGGACGGCTTTGATTCAGGAAAAAAAAAATGAAATTGCTAAGAAACTCCGGTCGTACCCAGATACAGTACGGAGTCACCCTTCCCCAGGTTATTTCGGATGTATTGGCAGACGGCAATTCGAAGATTCCATGTTCTGGATAGCACCTGATGACAATATTTCGAGCTCTGCAATCAGCGGGCCTTTTGACTCGGAGTCCTTATTGAACAGAGCTTTAATAGAGAAGTATCTTTATAACGGCGGCCTGAATCAGAAGGCCGCGTTTTACCGTCGTGCACTTCCTCTTATTCTGCGTGGTTACAGGCCAATATTCACGCATGGTGACTTACAAAGAAAGAATCTCATAATAAGAGAAAACGGGGTGGTCGTTTTAATTGATTGGGAGGCAGCTGGTTGGTATCCCGAATACTGGGAGTATGCCATGGCGGTGTTTGCGTGCGGGGCGTGGCAGGATGATTGGCACGAGTTCATCGGTCAAGTCTTGGTCGAATATCCAATCGAATATGCATGGTCTGACATGCCGAGGAGAGAATTATGGAGCTAGAAGAACAGTGAGCCTAAAATATCGAGCAAGCCGTGTGTAAAATTATCTGTGAAACGCGGACAACGTCCCTGGCGTTTAGCCAGCCAATGCTTGGTGGTTAGATTTGACTCATCAATCTGTTTCAAGACGAGGAGACCCTGGGTCGGCATATCGCTCACTTCGCACTGACAAAATGGTCGGCGGCTAATTGACTTCATCGCTAATTCCGCGCCGGCTGCAAGCCGTGATTCAATATATATATAATATATATATATATATATATTTACATGTAAAGCCTTGTACATCGAGAAAAATGCCTTCAAAGATTCCGTGCTGTGGCCACACCGCCCGACCGAGGGTGGGGTGGATACAGACGTTTGGCCTAATATGTATTATTAATAATACACCTCCTAGTGGCGGCAGGTGGTGCGCCGTGGAGAGTACTGCTCCACTGGCAGAAGGGGGGCGTGACTGATTTGGGGGGTTGTCTGGTGCCTGGGCCAATAATCACCCACCATTGACACTGGAAGGAACCGTGATCTCAAGGAGGGACGGAGGTCTTTACATTGGGCGCAGTCAAACCCTCCACCCCCCAAAAAATGGTATTAGTGAGGAGTGAGGCCATTAGGTGCCGGGGAGAGGAGGCGCAGAACGGGCAAAAGACACGTGGCTGATGCATCAGAAGTTTGGGAGAAACATTGCTAAGGTTTGTTGTGGAGATTTGACAGCTTCGACGGCGGATTGTTGCCTCTGAAATTGCAAACAATAGAGCTTCTCTACACATCTTCCCACCAGCCAGGGTCCTGTCCAGAGTCCGCCATTATGCAGGGAAATAGACTATCGCTAAAGGACTTTAAAAGAGTGGAATTTGCGAAAGTTTATCTTCTCACTACTCTGAGCCAGGTGGCACCAAATGATCAATACAATAACGCTAGCCAGCCTACAGAAAAAAGCCCACCACAACGATTCTGCTTCAGATACTGTTTATAGAAATAACAAACGTGTCCTTATATTTCCAATATGCATTGTAGTAAGGAGAAGGTTCGTGCCTTTGTGCTTCAGCTTGACAACCAACTTTACCTGCCTTCACAATTTTGATGCAGAATGCAGAATAGGTGCATCATATTTCTACCAACTTACATCATCTGTGCCGCCATTTCTGCATGACTCTACTGAACTGGCATGCTTTCAGGATCCTTAACAAACTGTTCTATCTTTCTGAGGCCCACGAGATCACCCTCAATTGTGTCTGCTAGCTCCTTCGGCACCCAGCCTTCAGTATGTCCACCACCAAAGTCCACAAGCCATGTATCCATGTTCCTGTCAACCAGTACATTAGCCGGTTTGGCATCACCCCAAGATATGCCCGCGGAGTGTAACTGGCAAAGGGTATCTCGGATTTGTCCTATCCACCGATCTTTTAGAGTGCCCGGCGTTTCTGGCTGTACCGCACATGAGAGCGTCGTGCCACCACAGTCCACATCGGTGAGTAGCAGACCATACACTAGCCCGCTTCCGTCCTTGACGAGTCCCAATAAGCGTGAAATACGAAGCGATGCATCGACTGACGCGTTTCGGATGGCCTGATACTTTGCAACCTCCTGTCTGAGGCTCCAATTATCACCCAGGTGCATCATCTTAAGAAAGGCTTTAGTGCCATCTGGCAACAGAACCCTCCTTGGTACATGAGTCGGAACTCTACCCCGGTTTTCTTCGTCAATCCAAACCTCGGACGGGAGATAGCCAGGCCACTGTTCATAGTACTCTTCGCTTAATGGAGTGCCATACCTTGATCCGCTATTTCGGCCAAGGGTCATGGGCTTTGCAACAAGCTTCTCGTAGATGCCGCAAATCTTGTAATGGTGCGTTTCTGGGGTAAGAAAATCTTGCACAGACCGCTTACACGGGTTAGGCGAAGACTTCATTCCATGAAATATCGGAAAAAGAGGCTCGGCAGCCCAATCATAGAAGTCATCAACGGTATACCCATCGAGCTCGAAATCCTCAGCAACCCGCAAAAAGAAAAGATATCTTTGAAGAAGTTGAGGGGATGCATCGAAGTTGCTCCTGGATAATTGGAGGACGAAGCGCACACCGTTACACATGATGACAAGCTGGGAGTCGGTGCTGCGGCATGAAAATGTAAAGTTGATAACTTCCCAAGGCGGGAACGCGTCGTCACCCGCTAGGCCCGAAGAATCGTTTCCCATGTTGATGGCCGAAATGGTGGTAGATTGTGTGGCAGAGAGTGCAAATGGCAAGTGCAGCGAGGTTTGTGGGCCGAAGACATGGTCAGAGGTATTGGCCAGATCTTATGTAGCCACCTAATGCCCCTCTGTTGGCCTTAGTTGGCGGCCAATAACTGGTATCCCCGACTCTTATTCGTCAACCGACAAGGGCGGATATCCGATCTGAGTGGGACAAGGCCGAACTCACGCCGCTTGGCCATGTTTGAGTAGACGCGCAAGAACCTCAATATTGTTTCATCTTAGAGAATTAATCATCTTCCCTTGAAGTATTAATGATCAGACGCGTTGGCGACTATAGTCAGCTGAGACAGGTGACCCTGAGGAGAACGCGCGCGCCTACATGGTACGTTTCTTATCACAACCAGAGATGTCCAGTGGCTGTCCGGGTGTTGGGGTGGTGTCGCCAGGCGCGCGCTTAACCCAGCGGATGTATTTGTCCACATAAAATGTGTCACTCAGCAAACATATAAATAGCTAAACAGAATTTCCAGAGGACTGGAGAGCATACAATGTCAAGCCCGATTGCTTTCTGTCCTGACTACCACCATATATGTCCTTTCCCAAATCACAACAAATCCCTTTCAGAATCCGTCAATCCCAGGCTATCACCATGTGCTCTCGGTATTACAGGCAGTACCGATGTGGTCACAGAGCTTACGCCCAACCAGACTATTGTGAATTTGCGACATACAACAACCGTACCAAAAGGTGGTCTATGTGCCCTCAAGGGCGGTCTCATACCGGGGTTTCTGACGAGAATCTCTGCGGCGAAGTCGAGTGCTATTTGGCAGACCTCAAGAGTCGCGGTTGGAGTTGCTGCAACTGTGGAGAAACAGGAAACAGAATGGACGGTTGTCTTGGGCCTCCTGGGGGGCGAATGGGGGATTGTCCTCACTACGTCTGCACACAATGCAGCTATACCAGATTCAGGTAGCTGGGATGATAGCACTCGTGCGGCTTCACTGGACATTTTCCCATTACTTCGCGTTGGAGCACCCGTGCCACAAACCCCCTTACCTGAAACGGGGCAATGCGCGGATCACGAACCTTAAGAGTGGATACATTGAATGATGGGTTCACAAAATACAAAGCGACGTAGAGGGTGATTTGCAAGGGTTGGATAATATGTTGTAGCATATATTTTCGCAGAGCCTGCCAAATATCAGTGGTTGCACATGTATGCCTTTTCTTGAATCTCAAACCATGAGCCTCCGCATCGCACATGCCGTCTTGAACAGATGGCGACTTACTCAAGAGCTATGTCGATGTAGAGCAGCAGGCCGCGCGCGATCGCGAGTACGGCCATCATTAAGAGTCCGCGTCTAACTGGCAAGCTCGCAGCGGTCAGCTACGACTTGTTGAGTCGGTTACGGGGTGCAAGAGGGCGGCTTCAGGGCTTGTCGGTTCCTGCGAAGTGGAGTAGCACGAAACTTGAGGTATTTGTTCAGAGGACACTTAGACCACCTCGCCTGCTTCCCTTTCCCCATATTATTATTAATATATTACTTCGGGCATTTTGACGCTTCCTTTTCTGTCCCATTCCAGTTCGCGGGACAGTGAACACTACGCTAGAAACGATAAGGGTTAGCCGTAGCATTGTCTCGACGAGTCAGCGTCAAACAGGAGTCTGTTGTCCTGGCGAGACTGGTTCGTTCTACTCGTGCCACGCCCCCACTTTTTCGGGTCGCGACTTTTTCTGCACCCTTAAAAAGTCGCGACCCGAAAAAGTGGGGGCATGGCACGAGTACGGGCGAAGGTGACAAAATCATCTGGTAAGGAGGGTGTGATATGGTCTCGACGCACATGCTTGAGGGCGAGTTCATTAGGCGAGAATCGCTCTTTCAGCTACCGAAGAACTCCTCATTACTATTCGGGAATGCCTCGCGGAGACGGTCATCGATCCAGGATAGCTGTCGCAGTCCCAGCATGCTCTTCTCATCGATGATCAGGTAGTTGATGTCCTTCAGCTTCTTCTGGAGATGGGCCATGTCAGTGGGCGAGAGGGGCTTGAAGTCCTTGTTGATTGGAAGGTGTAACAGGGAGTGCAAAGTAGTCCCCGATATCTGATTTCCCGCGACGCCAGTGGGCGCGGCACGCCAAACAGGTGTCCCTCTCCCGGCAGCAGCGGCTTGGAGGTGCGCGGAGAGCAAATTAATGAGGTATGACTTCCCGGTACCACCTCCACCATCCACATGGAGCAGCAACTGAGAGGGTTCCTGATTCAGGAAGCGGTCCATCACGGTATCGTATACTAAGCGCTGATCCCGATTTAGGGAATCTCGAGCTTCCAAGGGCTGATGATCCACATCAAGGTCAAGGCGGTTTGCCGCCTTGCGTTGCTTCCAGTAGTCGCCCTTGAGAATACCGTCATCAGTATACCGTCCAACGTGAGGGGTCCAATCATAATTGATGTCGATGTCTCGGCGGCCGAGGATGTCGATATCCTCTTCTTCCAGCGGGCGGTCGGGAAGCATGCGGGCGAGTTCATGCCAGTCTTCATCCACAATGGGCTCTTCATGGACCTCAAGCTCAAATTCGTCATCCTCAGCCCTCAATTCATTTGTATCTGGCTCCCCATAATGATCGTCCGCATGGGTGTCACCGTGCTGCTCTCTGCAAAACCTGTACGCAGCCGCGAAGGAATCGAACCGCTGCCCGCCCACGGTGAGCAACTCCTCTGGAGAGCGATGCGGATGAGCCATCATCAATTTAACACGGCAGAAGTCACCAAACTGGGGAGATGCCTCCACGGACCTGTATCGAGGAAAGTAAGACAGGACTCTCTTCTTCGCGTTGGCAGCGAGTCTCCTCCACGTCTTGAGATTATACGATTGCAGTTCCTCGAGGTAGGTTGCATCCTCGTGCTGGTCATTTCTCTCGAGAAGATACCTCCTGTAGCTGCCGACGGTCTCATTGACATCTTCATCCACGCGATACGAACGTGCATGTTGCTCCAAAGGACGGCAGTCGACAGAGACCACCATCCGCGTGCCTTCCTGCAGAGGAATGTTAAGGAGAAGATGGGAAATCTCCTGCGCCGAGTAATCTCTCTCGGCAATCAGCTTATTCATCAGGCGAGAGGAGAAGGACAATAGCGGCTGAAGGTGTGCTGTGTGCGGCAAAATCTGGTCTGCAAGCTTACAGTAAGGCTCAGTCTTCTTCTCAGATTTGCTGCAATACTTGGCAGCGTACGTAATAACCGCCTGTAAGCTGGTGAAAGGAGATATGTCGATATTGGCTAGCCAGCCTAGTATAATGGCGGGATTGAAGTGATTCATGAGATTGTCATTCCGCGCCGCCTCGAAGACATAGTACGACTTGCCTTCCTTCCCGATCACTGCGGCCAGCTCCCGCAAGGCACGGGGAAAGTCAAAACGACACTTCCACTCTGGATTGGCCGCATTGGCCGCCTCAATATCTGCAGCAGCGCCTTCCATATCCCTCGCCAGATCACCGGTTATCTTCCTTACACGTAAGCAGTACGTGGTGTTACACTTGTGACGCTGGCAGCGGTTGACGATTTGTGAGAGCCGCAGGAATGTCATTTCAGTGCTCAGTGGATCTACGCTCAGGGGGTTGCCCTCACCCTGGGGCATAGTCCTACTCGGCTTAGGATTAATGGCAGTGATGTGGAATCCCCACGTGCGTGCAAAAACATCACGAGCGGCTTCATCCACCATGTCGACTCTAGGGCAATTCTCCATCCAGTACAGGCCATGGTTGTGCGGACTGCCACGCCCTTGCCATTCATACCGATCCCAGTAATCCGTAATGTTGAACTTCTTGCTTAACACGATATCTCGAAAGAAGCAGTATCGGCGGTAGAAATGGAAAGCAGCAATATGAGGATTCTGACGCAAAGGTTGGCGCGAGAGACCCATCCTCTCGGACTCGGACGCAGCCAGCCATTCATCGTATCGGGGCATGTGCTGGTAGAGACTCCGCCAGTGTAAATCTGCCGGGCTGAATGTGATGAATGCACCAGGACATCCAAGATTGTAGGCATAGGCCTCGAGGTCCTGCCTCTTCCTGTTCCAGAAGGGGCGCGTGCCGCGAATAGGTACCGCATGTCTTGTGATTGAGTTGATTAGCACCTGCACCTCAGGGTCCTCGCTGTGCTCCAGTGCCTGAACAAGCTGCTCCCGTGTGAGCGGTTCATGACTACCATCGTGTTGCTTCACGAAGTATTTGGACCGTGCACGGGCCTGTGACCGCATCAGAGTATTGAAGGCGACGAAGCGGAAGGTCGGGTGGCGTGCAAAACGCCCGTCATGCCAGCGCATCGCGTGCTCGATGTAGTCCTTGTAGTCAATTGACCGTAGCCGAGGCTCAACAAAGTCGGCTCTCCCGTCAGGAGCACATGCTTGAGGGCGAGAGGAGAGTAGGGCATGAGAGCGATTGAACTCATTAATGGGTGTGCGCCGTATATTCGGAAGCTGCAGCTCGTGCTGCACCTGCTCCTGGAAGCTTGTGGAAAGCCTTGGTTCAGCTTCTGGTTCTCCGGCAAGAATAGACCGCAGAGCATCGAGCTCCGTGTCCTTGGCCAAAAGGTCCGGCACCGCAGCCTCGTCCTCCAGGTCCGGTTCTGCCTCCTCATCTTCCTCGGGTCCAACCTCGGCAGCCTCCACCTGGCTCTGGGGGATGTCGTCCAGGACATTGCCATCTTGAGGCAATTGACTCAGCCGCTCTTCGTCGATGACGATGCATCGATAGCCAGGATGATGGCGCCGGAGGTAGTTAAGCCATATGGCAACTGGCTGGCGGCGTACACGGAACTGGCGGGTGAATTGCCGGCTAAGGTTTGCATGGGACGACGTATTGGAAGGACGGAGTAATACAGTGTTCAACTCCCGCGGCAAAAGCGGGAGTTGGTTGTACACCAAGCCAACCTCGCGGAGAAAGTGAACAACATGTCCCCGATATTTGTACTGCTGGCCCCGCACAAGCATAATATTCACGTGGACGTGAACACGGCCTATTAAAGACTCTTCAGTAGGTGTAAGCTGAGGCAATTGAGTCGGTACGGAGCCAAAATCCAACTGGTTGTCCACAGAGAAGAAGTACGGCTCTTCAGGGCCGCGTTTATCATCCTTTCGACAGCAACGCGCACAAATGCCATCAGAATCGATCTTCATCTGGAACCAACGCTCTTGACATCGACCACAAAATTGCATTTGGTCATTGTCCAGCTTTGTCCAGAACTCACGGAGGATTGCTTTATCACGACAAGTCAAGGCGCAAGCGTCCAGGTCCCCATTCCACACCGGATCTTGTGCGTGAAATACGGCCGATTCTTCAGGTGGAATCATCACTGGACTCCGGTACCGTCGTGGCGGCCCCGACGATCGAGTTTGCCTTTGAGATTTTTTTGGCCGCCCTCCTGTACCAGGGGCAGGACCACGGCGAGCACGGCGACGAGGCCCTGACTTTGTGGAAGGCTGCCGCGAGCAATGGCGAAGAGGGCTTTCGTCCAAGGCATTGCTATTATCGTTCCCGTCTTCGTCCCCTAGATCGGAATCAGACTCTACCCCTAGGTGTTCGAGGTACTTCCGTGGTCGAGCAGGTGAAAGCAGCAAGTTGAAATAGTCCTCGACGTCAACATCAGATTCAGAGAACTGTCCCCTGTCATCCGCTTCCTTGGTCATTCCATCCCCATCTAGGAGCTCATTTGGCTGTAGTCGATCTTGACTCCCAGCTACGTTCCGTGGTTAGCTTGAACAAACTGCCGGGACCACAGCACAAGGATACCTTCTCCAGGACCATCAGAACCTTCAAAGACACCGAGTTGAGAGATTGTGGGAGTTAGTGACACAGCCTCCCCTGCACGGCGTCGTGAACGATGGTCGCGCCGAATAGTGGCCTGCTTGGCCCTGGCGCCGGCCTTGGAGGCATCATCTTGCGAGTCCTTCCCGCCCTTGTGGAACCTAACAGCCAGGTAAGAGTAGTCCACACCAGTCTGCTCGGACGCGTATTGTACCGCAAAGAACCTGGGTACTTGAACTCCATGCCACTTCCTTACACGTAAGCAGTCGAGAGGGAGATAGTCCTCAGAAAGACACATCAGCGCCAACAGCTGGCTCCAAGATGTGAACCCTTTCTCGGCTGAGGGATATCCGTCATAGAGCCGGTGGGTATTTCTCATGGGTAGGATGACAAGTCAGGTACATCCCAATCTGATCTTGACTCTGCCGGTGCGAGCTGCGCGCCAGGAGTCGCTGAAATTGCCGCACACCACCTTCATGCGGCTCGACTACAAGACTGGTTAGACATCGGCGCAGCAAATTCTCCTCGCTACCTCAAGAGTCGCGGTTGGAGTTGCTGCAACTGTGGAGAAACAGGAAACAGAATGGACGGTTGTCTTGGGCCTCCTGGGGGGCGAATGGGGGATTGTCCTCACTACGTCTGCACACAATGCAGCTATACCAGATTCAGGTAGCTGGGATGATAGCACTCGTGCGGCTTCACTGGACATTTTCCCATTACTTCGCGTTGGAGCACCCGTGCCACAAACCCCCTTACCTGAAACGGGGCAATGCGCGGATCACGAACCTTAAGAGTGGATACATTGAATGATGGGTTCACAAAATACAAAGCGACGTAGAGGGTGATTTGCAAGGGTTGGATAATATGTTGTAGCATATATTTTCGCAGAGCCTGCCAAATATCAGTGGTTGCACATGTATGCCTTTTCTTGAATCTCAAACCATGAGCCTCCGCATCGCACATGCCGTCTTGAACAGATGGCGACTTACTCAAGAGCTATGTCGATGTAGAGCAGCAGGCCGCGCGCGATCGCGAGTACGGCCATCATTAAGAGTCCGCGTCTAACTGGCAAGCTCGCAGCGGTCAGCTACGACTTGTTGAGTCGGTTACGGGGTGCAAGAGGGCGGCTTCAGGGCTTGTCGGTTCCTGCGAAGTGGAGTAGCACGAAACTTGAGGTATTTGTTCAGAGGACACTTAGACCACCTCGCCTGCTTCCCTTTCCCCATATTATTATTAATATATTACTTCGGGCATTTTGACGCTTCCTTTTCTGTCCCATTCCAGTTCGCGGGACAGTGAACACTACGCTAGAAACGATAAGGGTTAGCCGTAGCATTGTCTCGACGAGTCAGCGTCAAACAGGAGTCTGTTGTCCTGGCGAGACTGGTTCGTTCTACTCGTGCCACGCCCCCACTTTTTCGGGTCGCGACTTTTTCTGCACCCTTAAAAAGTCGCGACCCGAAAAAGTGGGGGCATGGCACGAGTACGGGCGAAGGTGACAAAATCATCTGGTAAGGAGGGTGTGATATGGTCTCGACGCACATGCTTGAGGGCGAGTTCATTAGGCGAGAATCGCTCTTTCAGCTACCGAAGAACTCCTCATTACTATTCGGGAATGCCTCGCGGAGACGGTCATCGATCCAGGATAGCTGTCGCAGTCCCAGCATGCTCTTCTCATCGATGATCAGGTAGTTGATGTCCTTCAGCTTCTTCTGGAGATGGGCCATGTCAGTGGGCGAGAGGGGCTTGAAGTCCTTGTTGATTGGAAGGTGTAACAGGGAGTGCAAAGTAGTCCCCGATATCTGATTTCCCGCGACGCCAGTGGGCGCGGCACGCCAAACAGGTGTCCCTCTCCCGGCAGCAGCGGCTTGGAGGTGCGCGGAGAGCAAATTAATGAGGTATGACTTCCCGGTACCACCTCCACCATCCACATGGAGCAGCAACTGAGAGGGTTCCTGATTCAGGAAGCGGTCCATCACGGTATCGTATACTAAGCGCTGATCCCGATTTAGGGAATCTCGAGCTTCCAAGGGCTGATGATCCACATCAAGGTCAAGGCGGTTTGCCGCCTTGCGTTGCTTCCAGTAGTCGCCCTTGAGAATACCGTCATCAGTATACCGTCCAACGTGAGGGGTCCAATCATAATTGATGTCGATGTCTCGGCGGCCGAGGATGTCGATATCCTCTTCTTCCAGCGGGCGGTCGGGAAGCATGCGGGCGAGTTCATGCCAGTCTTCATCCACAATGGGCTCTTCATGGACCTCAAGCTCAAATTCGTCATCCTCAGCCCTCAATTCATTTGTATCTGGCTCCCCATAATGATCGTCCGCATGGGTGTCACCGTGCTGCTCTCTGCAAAACCTGTACGCAGCCGCGAAGGAATCGAACCGCTGCCCGCCCACGGTGAGCAACTCCTCTGGAGAGCGATGCGGATGAGCCATCATCAATTTAACACGGCAGAAGTCACCAAACTGGGGAGATGCCTCCACGGACCTGTATCGAGGAAAGTAAGACAGGACTCTCTTCTTCGCGTTGGCAGCGAGTCTCCTCCACGTCTTGAGATTATACGATTGCAGTTCCTCGAGGTAGGTTGCATCCTCGTGCTGGTCATTTCTCTCGAGAAGATACCTCCTGTAGCTGCCGACGGTCTCATTGACATCTTCATCCACGCGATACGAACGTGCATGTTGCTCCAAAGGACGGCAGTCGACAGAGACCACCATCCGCGTGCCTTCCTGCAGAGGAATGTTAAGGAGAAGATGGGAAATCTCCTGCGCCGAGTAATCTCTCTCGGCAATCAGCTTATTCATCAGGCGAGAGGAGAAGGACAATAGCGGCTGAAGGTGTGCTGTGTGCGGCAAAATCTGGTCTGCAAGCTTACAGTAAGGCTCAGTCTTCTTCTCAGATTTGCTGCAATACTTGGCAGCGTACGTAATAACCGCTTGCAGGCTGGTCATCCTCGTGCTGGTCATTTCTCTCGAGAAGATACCTCCTGTAGCTGCCGACGGTCTCATTGACATCTTCATCCACGCGATACGAACGTGCATGTTGCTCCAAAGGACGGCAGTCGACAGAGACCACCATCCGCGTGCCTTCCTGCAGAGGAATGTTAAGGAGAAGATGGGAAATCTCCTGCGCCGAGTAATCTCTCTCGGCAATCAGCTTATTCATCAGGCGAGAGGAGAAGGACAATAGCGGCTGAAGGTGTGCTGTGTGCGGCAAAATCTGGTCTGCAAGCTTACAGTAAGGCTCAGTCTTCTTCTCAGATTTGCTGCAATACTTGGCAGCGTACGTAATAACCGCCTGTAAGCTGGTGAAAGGAGATATGTCGATATTGGCTAGCCAGCCTAGTATAATGGCGGGATTGAAGTGATTCATGAGATTGTCATTCCGCGCCGCCTCGAAGACATAGTACGACTTGCCTTCCTTCCCGATCACTGCGGCCAGCTCCCGCAAGGCACGGGGAAAGTCAAAACGACACTTCCACTCTGGATTGGCCGCATTGGCCGCCTCAATATCTGCAGCAGCGCCTTCCATATCCCTCGCCAGATCACCGGTTATCTTCCTTACACGTAAGCAGTACGTGGTGTTACACTTGTGACGCTGGCAGCGGTTGACGATTTGTGAGAGCCGCAGGAATGTCATTTCAGTGCTCAGTGGATCTACGCTCAGGGGGTTGCCCTCACCCTGGGGCATAGTCCTACTCGGCTTAGGATTAATGGCAGTGATGTGGAATCCCCACGTGCGTGCAAAAACATCACGAGCGGCTTCATCCACCATGTCGACTCTAGGGCAATTCTCCATCCAGTACAGGCCATGGTTGTGCGGACTGCCACGCCCTTGCCATTCATACCGATCCCAGTAATCCGTAATGTTGAACTTCTTGCTTAACACGATATCTCGAAAGAAGCAGTATCGGCGGTAGAAATGGAAAGCAGCAATATGAGGATTCTGACGCAAAGGTTGGCGCGAGAGACCCATCCTCTCGGACTCGGACGCAGCCAGCCATTCATCATATCGGGGCATGTGCTGGTAGAGAATCCGCCAGTGTAAATCTGCCGGGCTGAATGTGATGAATGCACCAGGACATCCAAGATTGTAGGCATAGGCCTCGAGGTCCTGCCTCTTCCTGTTCCAGAAGGGGCGCGTGCCGCGAATAGGTACCGCATGTCTTGTGATTGAGTTGATTAGCACCTGCGCCTCAGGGTCCTCGCTGTGCTCCAGTGCCTGAACAAGCTGCTCCCGTGTGAGCGGTTCATGACTACCATCGTGTTGCTTCACGAAGAATTTGGACCGTGCACGGGCCTGTGACCGCATCAGAGTATTGAAGGCGACGAAGCGGAAGGTCGGGTGGCGTGCAAAACGCCCGTCATGCCAGCGCATCGCGTGCTCGATGTAGTCCTTGTAGTCAATTGACCGTAGCCGAGGCTCAACAAAGTCGGCTCTCCCGTCAGGAAAGAGGCAGGGAAAAGCTAAGGAGAGTAGGGCATGAGAGCGATTGAACTCATTAATGGGTGTGCGCCGTATATTCGGAAGCTGCAGCTCGTGCTGCACCTGCTCCTGGAAGCTTGTGGAAAGCCTTGGTTCAGCTTCTGGTTCTCCGGCAAGAATAGACCGCAGAGCATCGAGCTCCGTGTCCTTGGCCAAAAGGTCCGGCACCGCAGCCTCGTCCTCCAGGTCCGGTTCTGCCTCCTCATCTTCCTCGGGTCCAACCTCGGCAGCCTCCACCTGGCTCTGGGGGATGTCGTCCAGGACATTGCCATCTTGAGGCAATTGACTCAGCCGCTCTTCGTCGATGACGATGCATCGATAGCCAGGATGATGGCGCCGGAGGTAGTTAAGCCATATGGCAACTGGCTGGCGGCGTACACGGAACTGGCGGGTGAATTGCCGGCTAAGGTTTGCATGGGACGACGTATTGGAAGGACGGAGTAATACAGTGTTCAACTCCCGCGGCAAAAGCGGGAGTTGGTTGTACACCAAGCCAACCTCGCGGAGAAAGTGAACAACATGTCCCCGATATTTGTACTGCTGGCCCCGCACAAGCATAATATTCACGTGGACGTGAACACGGCCTATTAAAGACTCTTCAGTAGGTGTAAGCTGAGGCAATTGAGTCGGTACGGAGCCAAAATCCAACTGGTTGTCCACAGAGAAGAAGTACGGCTCTTCAGGGCCGCGTTTATCATCCTTTCGACAGCAACGCGCACAAATGCCATCAGAATCGATCTTCATCTGGAACCAACGCTCTTGACATCGACCACAAAATTGCATTTGGTCATTGTCCAGCTTTGTCCAGAACTCACGGAGGATTGCTTTATCACGACAAGTCAAGGCGCAAGCGTCCAGGTCCCCATTCCACACCGGATCTTGTGCGTGAAATACGGCCGATTCTTCAGGTGGAATCATCACTGGACTCCGGTACCGTCGTGGCGGCCCCGACGATCGAGTTTGCCTTTGAGATTTTTTTGGCCGCCCTCCTGTACCAGGGGCAGGACCACGGCGAGCACGGCGACGAGGCCCTGACTTTGTGGAAGGCTGCCGCGAGCAATGGCGAAGAGGGCTTTCGTCCAAGGCATTGCTATTATCGTTCCCGTCTTCGTCCCCTAGATCGGAATCAGACTCTACCCCTAGGTGTTCGAGGTACTTCCGTGGTCGAGCAGGTGAAAGCAGCAAGTTGAAATAGTCCTCGACGTCAACATCAGATTCAGAGAACTGTCCCCTGTCATCCGCTTCCTTGGTCATTCCATCCCCATCTAGGAGCTCATTTGGCTGTAGTCGATCTTGACTCCCAGCTACGTTCCGTGGTTAGCTTGAACAAACTGCCGGGACCACAGCACAAGGATACCTTCTCCAGGACCATCAGAACCTTCAAAGACACCGAGTTGAGAGATTGTGGGAGTTAGTGACACAGCCTCCCCTGCACGGCGTCGTGAACGATGGTCGCGCCGAATAGTGGCCTGCTTGGCCCTGGCGCCGGCCTTGGAGGCATCATCTTGCGAGTCCTTCCCGCCCTTGTGGAACCTAACAGCCAGGTAAGAGTAGTCCACACCAGTCTGCTCGGACGCGTATTGTACCGCAAAGAACCTGGGTACTTGAACTCCATGCCATCTAATGTCACAGCCTGTGTCGAGAGGGAGATAGTCCTCAGAAAGACACATCAGCGCCAACAGCTGGCTCCAAGATGTGAACCCTTTCTCGGCTGAGGGATATCCGTCATAGAGCCGGTGGGTATTTCTCATGGGTAGGATGACAAGTCAGGTACATCCCAATCTGATCTTGACTCTGCCGGTGCGAGCTGCGCGCCAGGAGTCGCTGAAATTGCCGCACACCACCTTCATGCGGCTCGACTACAAGACTGGTTAGACATCGGCGCAGCAAATTCTCCTCGCGACAATTTTGCCTGGTTTGGAAGCGCGGAAGTCCATACCGCTATTCCTTTGACGGCGATGCGCGTTGGGCTTGCAACCGAGGCCTTCGTGTGTAACTACGCCTTCCCGCGCGACATAGACCCCTGCAAGTATTTCGTATACCGCCATCAGCGGACCTGGGAGCGCCGTTGGTGCAGGAGTAGAATTGGGAGCCCTTTGGCCCTTGCCAGTCAAGTATCTGGACCCCTGTCACCAAACTATCTCCTGGTCGACTAGCCTTAGGTCTGTAGGGACAGGGTTGTGGTCCATTTCTGGCTACTGCATAAATTCAGGTCAGATAATAATTCCAGATCAGGTCTATAAATCCATTTCAGGCTGGATAGGCCCCAGTCAAGCAAACACAGGTCAAGTAGACACTCGGCATCTGGCTTAAACTTTTACCATCTACGCGTGGCTCACAGGATCATCCACCAATGAACCGTCGCTCTTTTTTGAACAGCCTTCACAACTTACCCGGCACACAGTCAATGTATGTGCGATCGACTTTCAGGCCCCCCTAGGAGACGGCTTGGGAGGAAATTGGAAACTAGAAGTGAGCGATATTTAGATATCGTGCTCCCATCGCAACTCTGTCTTGAACTAACAGTTCTGTCGCTCTTCTCAGGGGCTGCCGACTTTGTGATGATTGCAGTCCATGCATGAAGCAAATGCAGTCTCTTAACTAGGTGAAATGCCTAGAATGAAATGAAAATGACCCGTAGTCCTCTTCAACACCGATGCTGGCTTATGCCACGACGTGCATAATTCCCTTTGTAGACTTTCTCAAATCATGTTCTGGCTTGTTTTCAAACTCTCCCGCGGGAATATTGTTCTGCCAGTGTCGCCTACCTTTCTATTAGGAAACCAGGAATCGACAGTTTAACTACCACGGTTCAAAGTGAACGGAAGGACCTGGTTCAATTTACATCTTGGGCCAAGCAGGCGAAGGCTATTTGGACTGGACGGAAGACACATGCAGCACGTCACTCGTGTTCTGTAACCTTCTATCACTTTCTAAGCTCTTCTAGCCGTCTCGCATTTTACTGTTGATGTTGAAGTGCTTTTATGACCCGTTCAACGCCATATTTAAAATATTCATTCATTCATTTATTACGCTATGTTAAGAATATCCTTCTGGGCCATGACGAAGAACCGTCTTTGCTGTTGCGTACTTGACAATTAACTCTGTGTGAACGAAGAGCGTGGAGACTGGTTGCCTTGTGACCCCACTTTTACCTATCCCCTGTCTGAGACTTTCTGTTGGACCATCATCAGTACACGGTGCGTACGCCCCAACGCTAATACATATAGCGCTCATAGCAAAAGGGGCGTTTACTAATTTCATCGAGCTGAATACTTGACAACAGTGTGACGAGCGCAAGACGATCGCATCGTCGCATCTATGCCTCTGTATTAATACTGTACATACTTTTAATACACATTAAAGAAGTACGATATTTACATGACATTAGTATCTAATTGTTAGGACATACAGTATTGTAGCGCACCCGTGCCTGCTGCTGTGAGCACTGTGTGGGAGTAAGTGTCGCAAACCACCTAAACATCTGCGGGATGGGACCCCGCACCTAACAACTTGAATAAAAACACAACTTTTCTCACCCATTTTTAAGCACGTACGAAAGTGCGACAGTAGGTCTTGGGCTGTCAATTCCTATAGCACCGTAGGCCCCAATATGGCTTCGCCCGTCGTCGATATCGATCCGTATGGAGAAGTATTCATCGTCATCCCCACTGCCGTGACGCGTCCCCAAGCTGGCTTAGCAAACGAAGAGATTATCGCACCTTTGGAGAGTGTGGAAGGCCAAGATAGAAATTCTCTGCCTGCCGATCGTTCTGAGAATGATGATTCTGACAAAGGTTGGCATTATGATCAACAATACCAACCAAATACTAGAAATCTGTCCTAATCGCCCGCCATAAAGATCCAGCGCATGTTGAAGCTGAGCAACAGTCATCTTTTCGACTGAGGGTTTCTAAGAAACACCTCATAATGTCATCAGTACGTGCCAAGAAGATGTATGGAATAAACTGCAAAGAGTCAACGCCGGACGAGAACGGAAATTTCCATTGGCATTTCGAGCCGATATTTAATCGTCAGGCCTTTGAGATGGTAATGGACATCATACATGGACAAACACATAAGACTCCAGACAGAGTGAGCCTTGACATGATGGCCGACGTAGCCGCCATCACAGACGACTTGCAGTGTCATAATGCCGTCAAATTCGTCGCCAATGCCTGGATGGATCGACTCCAAGCGTCCCCGCCGAAAAAGATATGCTCAGATCTCTACAAATGGATTCTTATTGCATGGGTCTTTGATCAGCCTGATCTTTTCCAATCAACCACGCGTCTGGCAATCATGGAATGTACTGGCACCCTATCTCCAGGTGTGATTCCTGTCAACCCAGCGATTATTGGTATTAAGTTCGATATATCTTCTACTCTAGAATTAGTATTGTGCTAATATTGGACAGAAGCCGTCGAATCAATGAGGGTAGAGCTACTCAGTGAATTAATTGCAGGGGTAGAAAGAATGATAGATGACCTTAGTCGGGGCCATTCCACTTGCACATTTGAGTGCCGATCCATGTGGCTCGGAGCATTGATTCAAGAGATGCGTTCAAATGGCTTATCTTCGCCTGACCCGTCTGAACTAAAGCAGGACCTCTCTCTGACTACCACATTGGGAATCATACGCAACTTTCAATCACCAGTGATCTTCTCGCCACGATCTAAATTTGCCGATGTCGCTGATGGGTACGAAAATCATGATCCAAACACGCTATGGAAACTGCAGTGGGGTCTCGACGAAGATAACTATGGATATTCCTTCTCCAAAAAGAGCAAAATACATAAGAAGGCTGCCTCATCCGTAAGCCTTTGGCAAGACAAAGTAGCACACGACAACCCAGAAACTCTGTTCAAGCACCAATGTTCTTTACATACGCTACTCGAGCCTTGCCTGCGGGCGATAGAGACAAAGGTCATAGGGCTTGACATTTCGTCGTTCTCTAGAGCTGGTTAAGCTTGGGAAATCCCACAACTCATTGGCTGTCACAAATCTTATCATTTCGGAAATGTTGATCGCTTTCAGGATGATCTATGTCATACACTGGCTGCGCCCGCAAAAAGTGGCTGCATTTAGTGATATACGCGTGGCATAATTAAAACTGCCGTGATTCTCAACCGTGTTACGCCCCGATATGGAAGTAGTGAGCGGCCCGTCCCTGGTCTAGACTTCATTCCACATGCCAGAGTGGAACAATATGGGACCAACTCCACGTCCGCAACCTACCACACTCATGGTCAAGTCGAGATACGACGCACACCCTGTGCGTGTCCTTCTTTTTCGTAGAAACCAACCCAAGTCGTCATATTCTATTGACGAGGGCTGTCGTTCCTCGGCGGCGTATGGTATATCCCGGAACTACTTCTACCCTGTCTTCAGCCGATACAACCCGCGACGCCACGCGGCAAGAAAGCCACCCGGCACACGAATAAGTGTGCAAACTGCCGGATTTCGTTCCCCGAGGCTTTTGATGTGCGCGCTATCACGGTGCACAAAGCACAAGGATTGACGCTGAAACAAGTGGTCTTGAACCTGGATCGGAGGGATCATGCGCCAGGATTGTCGTACGTTGCCATATCTCGAGTTAAGAAACTCTCTTCCATCATGTTTGAGACGCCGTTCGATCTAAGTCGATTCACAACCAAAGTGACCACTGAGCTCGAACATGAAGGATAGGGAAAGGGATTGGCACCTGCGCACACTCCAGTGCCTGTAAGTTAATAGATTTGGGTATCACGTCAAGTATAGTATAGGGGGAAACACCATGTATAAATATCGTTACCACCAACACTACCCCTGTTACTACCTAATAGAGGAGATAGACTTGAATTGACTTTTATTGATACCCTTTGACGATCCAACAGCCATGATTTTGTGGCATGCACGGTTTGGGCATATTGGCTAGCTAGGACTAACTATTGGTACTACGTCACTCATTTTTTTATTACATGCGAATCTTATAGGATCAAATTCCAGCTTACCAGCTACTGATATTTCTTATCTTGCGTGCTTCGTTGCTTTGCATTGTTGATGCCCGCTCTACGTAGTCTATTTACAGTGATCGGAATGGTCTGGTCTGACTTGGTCTGGTCCAGACCGCCAAGCCTTGGTTTGGTCTGGCAATTTCTCGAGTACTAAATGATTGATTGGACTGTGGACCCAGTTTTTAAGTCACGCGAAGCCTGGTTTCGAGGGCTATGGTGTCGACTTTCTTACTTGGGCATTCACTCCTCGGACCCGTCCGACATACATATAAAAGCCAGATGCTCGACAGCCTCTTCTAGAATTTCCAACAACCAAATACAATGGCTGAAAATGATCTCTATCAACTCCTTACGTTTGACACGCCAGACGGGCTTCAGGACGATATTGTCAACAGTCTGACCACTCTCCACGCCACCAAAAACGTAGATGAGCGGGGTCGACAGTTATGGATTTATTACGACACACCACAGGTCCGAGAATATACCAATCTCATACTGTTGAAAATGGTAGGCACACGCGCGTGTTTCGATGGCAGTACCAGGCTAAATTACAATAGGACCCGTCTATCAACGAGGCTCTTGGTAAGCGGGGGCTTGCGGTTTGTCCAATTCAGAAGGGCCCAAGGGTTGTTCGCACTGGGGATGGAGCGAGTGACTATCAAGAAGCTCGTCCCGGCTCTATTGCCATTATCACTCCAATGACACATGAGAAGGTGCCGATTTGGCTGGCGGAAATAGGGGAGCGTTTTTCAGAGAATAATTTTGTTAGCGCTGGTAAACAGGACAAGGTGATTATACTGCCAGGCACAAAGTTCCGTCTTGGAGCGCCATATTACTTGATGGCGCGGCCAGTACGAAACGTTTAGGATAACGGCAGAGTTCAAGCTCAAATAAATTCAATTATGGTACACTAATTTTCTATACCAAGACAATTAGCCTGGAAAAATCCGTCGTTTGGGTAGGTCTGCGATGCAACTGGTGATAGGCCCAGGTCTTGCCAACTCGCCGCTGAAAACGAGGTGCGACTCGAACTCTCATAGGCCATCATTAATATCCATGCCTCCAAAATCTGTCTCCATCGGAAAGTTATGTGAACCGAGTTGCGCAATAAATTGCGACTGATCGTTAGTGTGACTGAACTGACAGTATGATCAACAGGACCTCCGGAGAGATGATCTGCCGTTCAATCACTTCAACTTCCCTATGTTATAGTAAGTCAACCGCTTCAGTGGCATTGAAACAAGACGTACACATCATCAGGACCAATCCATTTCCCTGGCTGGAAGATTTCCCTCCTTGTGTCGTTTTGAGGGCTGTCATGGCCTTGCACCACCAGTCTCAGACCGCATCTCACGTGTGGTATATGATCTTGATCAACGAGTTGAATGTCAAATGCTCTTCTATGGCGTGGGTCTGAATGGTATAAGACCGACGCAACGACCAGTGGCTACCGGCTACCGACTCCTCCACAACAGAGTTCGCAAAGTCAGGATCATCAAATAGCCCGTGTTGCACGTACTCATCGTGGAGCTCAAGCAGACGCACATTCATATTGGTCGTTGAATAAGAATGACAAGAGTAGAAATGAAACACCGAGGAGCAATTGTGACAGCACGGCGATGCCTACGCCTTTCATCGGTGCATGGAACGTGTTTTCCCGTCATTCCGCTGTCTTTGCTGTTCATGGACCGTGTTGGCGAACCCAGCTGACCTGAAGTCTGAGAAGAGCAGGGGATCAATATGGCCGCAGGAAAGTCGGCCATCAGGAGGGGGGTGCCAATTGTTCCACGATGAGGAAATCGTGGAACAATTGGCACCCCCCTCCTCGCAGGACGGCCGACATTGTGCATAATCCGATTTCCCAGAACGGCATTGACCTCCCGTGTCCATGCAAGGAAACCATGTCATCACCATTATCTACTTTGGCTATCACAAATACTGGCAGGAATTTTCCCGGTTCAGAATCGTTTTCGCTGACGGGGTGCCTCGGTTCTCCCACGAAGATATGCCACATCGTATGGGATGTATAGGATCTAATCTCCGGTCCTGGCACCAGCGGGCGTATCGGTTGTTCGAATTTCCCTGAGAAAACTACTTAAAATGAGGCTGTCCCTGCAGGAGATGGCGGTGAGGTGGGAATGTGGCCGTTTGGTTGCACCTTCATTTTCCATTTTTGACATCATGCAGTCAGACGACCAGCCAGACTTGTCCTACGGGCAACAAGTCGCGGTGTAATACTATGCATCGTACAGTGCTTCGTTTTCTGTCTTGAAGCACTATTAACTAAAAGTCCATCTGACTACGAATGCCACCTGGGATATACCTGTGGGTCCTCCGCATTCTCGCCGGCCTTGGAACTTTGGTTGGTATTATGCTGGTGGTGGCGATGTGGAAAGAGCTAGGGAAGTTTCATTGGAATTTTGGGCCGACATTAACTGTCTGCCATGCTGATGTGGATCATCCTGATAGAGGTGGGTGCTGCCAGAAGATTGCGGAAAAGGTACTAAAGACTGACCTAGGATTCGGTGTTTTCCGGTATCACTCTACGCGCTTTTGGGGAAAAAGGAATTAAGCGGGAAAAGGTCATTGCAGGCTTTGTCGGCTGTGGGCTTTGTTTTGCTATGTGCCGACATGGGTTTTAGACGGACGGCTCAGCAACTGGTGACACCAGCTGCAGCTGCTCATAGGGGCTCAATGGCATTTGCATACTTCATTATTCGTTTCAACGCTAGCAGCGGTCTAGCAAAGTGGCATTGGACAACGTTTATCCCACTGGATGTTCGAAGTGCTTGTGAATTCTCTATTCTTGTACCGTCGATTGCACTGTCGATTATCGGTTTGTAAAGGGCCGAGACTCGGACACAGAGTGAATTATAAACTAGTAAGATGCCGGATCTTTCTCATCTTTTGTCGCCTAAAAGCTTACTTCGCAGGTTCTAAATGCTTTATTCACTCTCAATGGTATTGTGCATGGCGTTACCCAAGTCAGGCGGCATTTCGAGGATAGGGGCAAACATAGGGGCGAGGATAGGGGCAAGAATAGGGACGATAATATTACGGATGAGGATAGCGGCAAGGAGAGGGCTGATGGTGAGAGTCAAGACTCACAAGATGAATATTCGCTTTCAGACTGTTCTGCAATGGAGATGGGAACGACCACTAGTTCAACGGATTATCTCGTAGCTAGCAAAGAGGCATAAAAAGATTACAATGTATCCCACTGTCGACTAAGCATAAACTAATATCGAACGTTCTGTCCACCCTCTCGGAAACTCAATCTCCCTCTTCAGATCTGTTGCAGCTACCACGTGAAGCAGGCAGCAGTGGCCCACATCGTTGCTGCCTGCCACCAAGGCAGCAGCGATGGAGGCACTTACATAGCTTAACAACAACAAGAACAGAACAATCATGAATATACTATCAATTTGTACCAACAAATGAATACGTATTCAGCGCCTTGACCCAACAAGATCATTAAGACATGAACTTAGCGGGATAAACTTGGGCCATTTCACCACTCTCCTGAGTTTTGTGCATTCCCTCAAGCAAAGATAGAATTCATACTAATAATGCCGCAAAAATGGTCAACCCGACAAATTCGTCGCTGCGTAGCTAGGTGATTTAACACAACCAACTTGGGGGGTGGAGAGGAGATCCTCGGCAGTGAACGCCTTAGAGCCGGGCACAATTCCCCCATGGCAATGCGAGATCTCCTGAGCAACATGACCGATCCTCGCAGTGTTTCCCACCAAAACCTAGTGTCTGTCAGCGTTCTCTCCCAACCTACCTACCCATGTCCTTCGTATATTCCTCGCGCCAAGCTACGAGGACGCAACTTGGACGTATGATTTCCCTAAGTACAAGTGTAGGTATGCCTAACCTAGGTAGTTGCTTTAGGTCACAAAATGCAGTCGAGAGGCCGAGAATCATGAAAACTCTCCAAAGGTAGCCTTACTGTTTCTGCCAGCAACAAGCATGAAAACGCTCGACATGCACATGATCAATGTCCTATAGCAGACTGCTAACTCTCAACTGCTTACTCACCAGTTCTGTTATCGCCTGAAATACTTGGCAAATTAATATAAATTGGCGTAAGCGCAGTCATTTTCAGAAACAAATTCTTTTCAACTTTCTTTGTTTACCTTCATCGCGACAGCCACTTCACTCAAGGTTTTCCACTCTGAATCCTGCCAACTTAAAGAAGGGCTGGCTCGGAATCTGTTGCCCCAACATCAACTCGAATACAACAGCCCACAATCTAGCCATGGCAGTGTACGTTCTTCCAGTCCACGCAACTTACCGGTCATTAATAAAAAAATAAAAAAAATAGGGCAGCATATGAACCCGAAGACTATAACTCACTTCCCAGTCTCAACTCTGCGTTCCAAGAGCTACAAAACAAAGGTGGTGAAAGCGTCATTACTGGCCCTATTCGAGACATCTTCCTCAGCCATGGTGTCCAAGGTGCCTACGGCATCGCTTTGTTGCACAAGCATTTTGCCATTCGGTCAATAGACCGCCTTGTGGACATCCGGAACGTGTCGTCCCCTTGGGAGACGGGCGGTGACGTCGAACCTACCTTGAAAAAATATAATGGTATTATAGCGCCCCGGTCACTGAGATTCTTGGATGGGGCGTTAAAGCCTTATGAATTCGACTTCGTAGAAGAGGAACGGTCGATGGAGATGAACGAAAAGTTTCTGCAAAAACTGTCGCATTTCCTTTTGGATACCAAATTAGATCAAGTTCTTGGTCTCAGGCTACTAGATTCGCGCGACACAAGCGTATCTGTTGAGGTTACGGAACGCAACTCAAACATTATGTTACCTCTAGGGGCGGTTGATGAGAAAAATGTTATTCCTGCGCTGTGGATTTTTGGCACCGACGACGATGACCGCTGCAATTGTAGGGAATACTGCTATACGGATAGAAGTGGCAAACACTCTGGCGAAGGCAACCACGGGTGCGGTTGAGATCTGAGCCAAGAACGGACCTCTTGGAAAGATTACTTAAGGTTATTGTGGCTTTGTTATACTCTGTTTTGTCTTGTCTTGTTTTATTAGCATTGACAGAGTAGACCCTTGATGCTGGTTTTCCCACAGGGTTTTCCCAACATTATTATGCAAATGCAGAGGGTTTCATAAGGCATCTACTCGTTCAAATGCTCTATGCTTGAGTTCTTTCGTCCCGCGCTGCCAAATCCGCAAGTGAAAATGTGGAATGGGACCTGATTCGTCTTGCAAGCCCCAGCCCCACCTGTTCATCCATGCTTAACTACGGAGACAGTCCAACTTGAAGTGCCAACGCTCTTTTCTCCTTCCAATTTTTTTTTCCGTCACGCTGTAGCCGCTGTATCGATCTCTATTAAAATGCAGGGAACTATCGCCGACATCAGCGTGTCTGATGCGGAGCGCATTGTTCGAAAAGTTGATTATCCAGCCATGCAGGATGGCCCATTATTCCGCTTGATATTTCCTTCTCGGGCGACGACAGAAGCTCAGAAGAATGAAATAATTCAATGGTATGCTGAGGGGTTAGAGGATGCCTTGAGACGCAAGGGGAATAAGCTTCTTCAAATTTGCGCATTAGATGGAACACCACTGGGCTTCTGCGGATGGACAGTGGAACACCGAGGGCAGAGCCGGCAAGTCCCCATGAACTCAAGTCTGTCACAACATGGTACAAAGCTGCTCTCTCTCCCGGAAGCGCTAGATTTGTCTGCATGGCTCAGCGTGTCAAGCGATTTGAGAAGCGAGCGGGAACGGATCCTGAGCGGGTGGGACGATGTTTGCCGTAAGTTGACATGTATCCGTCGTCTACTACCACCACATACCAATCCATCGTCGACTCATCTGTATTCCAATTAGGGTTGACCTTTATGTCAGTGCATCCCGATCATCAGCGCCATGGCCTTGGCTCCGCATTATTGAAGCGAGTCTGCGATGACATAGACGAACTGGGATGGCCTGCTTTCGTTATGTCTTCGCCAGCCGGTGTTCGGTTATATACAAAGTTTGGTTTCGATGTTGTTAGCAGGATAGAAACGTGTGAAGGGACATTAACAAGCATGTTTCGACGGCCTCGAATTCTCTGCGGACACACTTTGATGACAGAGTAGATGGAATCATCCCCACATCCTCGAGGCTCGAGCGAGTCTACCAAGGTTTAGCCAAGCAAGGCCTACGCAGTGTGGCATGAGCAAATTTTTAAATTTGGCACTGCTGACACAATTTCATGCACACATGCAGGGGGGAGTCACCTTCAATTTAGTCGAGTGGTAAAGAAGTCGGCAGCTTCGACACAAGATACGTATCCGAGCAGCATTCGCACTAAGGAGGTTTCTCTATGAGGGCTAATGCAAAGAGGATGTTAGACGGCCCTGTTGCTAAATCACGTCGTCCATGTGTAGCAACCCATAGTGCTAGACAACGTGGCCTGGAACAGGTGATCAGCATTAGGCGTAGCATTAGTTCCGGTACGTGAGCTTCCAATGCCCTGTCGAATATCATTTCAAAAGACCCGGCGATGGACAGCAGCGTGATCTTTTCTTTCGCAGTCACAGACTCGTCAGAGACTGTTATGGAAGCTTGAGTCTGCTAAGGTAATCTTGTCTGGCTACAGGCTTGGACTCATGGATTTAGTTCCCATTTGGGTTGAGGCGAAGGCGAATAAGGTAAAACTTGATACTCCATTCAATTAAACAAACTATAGAGCCATTTGAGAAACAGTGCGTATTCGGTGTCAAAAAAGACGTAAATACCACTGGGTCTCGGTACGTATCTTGACATCAGGACGGGGAAGGCATCAGTCTATGACCGCTGAAGGCATCATGGGACTGTTCCATGAACTGAAATAGCATGATTTCTCAGATGCATCTTATGTGCGAGAGTCATGTTGCAGACTTGACACACCGGCCGTTCGTTGTCTCCCAATTGCGACAGATGTCTCCGACGAAAGTGTTTGCTCAAATCACCAGAGGTGTAGAACTCCTGAATCTTGTCCTCCACACGAGGGTCATCTGGCGGCAATGAAAGCGCAGCGCCAACGCACAGAAAACATCTTCTTGGCCTTTGGCTGGGATGCTCAATGAAAACAGACATAGTAGCTAGGAATAGAGGGCTATCTTCCGACGGCTCACGAGGTTCATTACGCGAGCCCGTTGGCGTAGGCTGTAGATAACTACGGCGAACGGTCGCCCCTTCCTCGACGCTGCAATATGCAGTTATGGCATCAATCGCATTATCCCTTCGATTGTACTGCCCCTCAAGAGTATCCCCGACCGGACTTATAAGCGCTTCCACCAGCAACTTCTGAGCCGGCCGCTGAGGACGTATTGTATGATCCACCACTGGTTCGGCAAAGCCTTTACCTTGGAGTTGACGTTCGATATCGTCCACGGCTTGTTCGTCCGTCCAGTCGTCTCGGATTTTCTGTTTTAATTCCCTTTTTAACTTCTGTTTTAATGATCGCAACGCGCGGTGGGTCTTCTTGTGCTGTTCGGACCCTGGGCGCAATTTTCGTAGTTGGATTGTGAGCCGTCGAACATGAGGATCTGACGCGACAGACGCTGTTTGCTCAGCCGTGAGGCCTGTTGGCCGTCGTTTGCTTACAGAGTGTCCAATGCTGCAAGCTTGGTCAATAAGTGCCTGCTGTGGTTTTTCGCGACGGATAATAGCCCATGGGTCCGCACGGACAATGCGACCAAGGTAATGTTTCTGGAAAGGGACGGAGTTGGCGTGGTCAAGAGACAAGTTCCGAAGTGCCTCGCTCATGTCGGCTGTTGCAACAACGTTAAAAAAAAGTCTCCCTTACGTTGATTCTAAAATACTTACGACTTTGGTCAAACTCATTGGCTGCATTATAGCGCAGACTGTAAGGTATTGTTTCATACTGAAGTCCCATGATCTCACCCACTCTTTTGATCCAGCCCGCAATCATGCCTTTAGTGATGGTCTTTGTTGTTGACATCTCGTACCCTGTCAATGTTTTAACAGCGCGACGGAATATGCACACCTCCTTTAGGTCACTTCTTAGAGGCAAAGGTAGTTCACGCTCGCCTGGATGTATGTCCAACTCATCTAATTGCCTAGGAGAGGTGAGCTGACATGCGCGGAATGCTTGGTGCCGAAATAAAATGCCCAGCAGAAAGGCGTGGGGACTAAGGAGCAAGGATGGATCGAACATCATCTCAGGGATGGTAAATGTTTTGCTGGTAGTGTATTAGCAGAGAGAATATTAGCAAGCAATGCGGAGACAGCAGAAATAGTGCACTTACGCATCCTTAGTACCGAGGTATGACTTCGTGAACTCCAACGTGAACCGAATTAAGATCTTGTGCGGTCCACCTTCCGGATCTCTCGCCAAAGCCACTCGGATGTCCCCAAAGCGAAGCCGTAGGATGGAGGTAGGGCGAGAGCCTGCGGGGGCCAATAGGAGGAGAAAAAGCACAGCCAGAATTCGGTGCTCTCCTAGGTCAAACGATTTCTTTGTGGTGCTAAGCGTCGTCTCGATCTGTTCCTTCAAATCGTTGATAGTCATACAGCGATTAGCTCTCTTCTGGTCGCTTAGTCCGTGTTTTTTCGCAAGCTCTCGGAGGACCTAGGAAACGTTACAATCCACACGTATTGTTGGTTATCGAGAGTAACATACCTTATGCATATTGCGATTCAATTTTGGATCGAGCTTCGTACCAATAGCCCTCTCATATATGAGTCGGAAGACCTTCCAGGCTGTGCCCAACGAGGAGCTCTTTGTCGTGCCTCTCAATTTTCTACCGTCCTTGCCCGCCTTCTGGTTCAACCGCCATTCAAAGAATTTATAGAGGATGCCTATAGAGATCGACTCAAAGCACGCCTGAGGGTTACGCGAGAGAACTTCATTGCAAAATCTGCGGGTAGACAATTAAAACGTTGAGCCTGGATGCGGCGGGAAAGTGAGGCGACTTACTGCTGCCACTGTAGCTCTATAGCGTCCAAAAGTATTGTACTCCCTGGGCTGTAATCCTCACCAATAAAGGTGCTTTCATTGAATTCTTCTATGCCTCGCCGGTAATATTCGGGTGGATGTATATTTCCACCAAAGAGTTGAATTTGATCTTCAACGTCCAGATCATCATTTTCCAATACGTAAAGGTCCGTTGCCTCCGTTGCCTCCGTTTCGTCACCAGACAGATCCGCTTCATCCTCGTCAAAGCAGCTCTCAATCTCTGGTGAAAAAGAGGAATCAGATTCGTCTGCATCAGGTGAGCGTCGCTGGCGTGCCATGGTGGATGAAGTTGTTAGGCTGTGATCTAGACTTGCTGCAGCCCGCGGCTCGTGGAGTTTGAGGCAATTTGGAAAGGTAGTATAGAGTTGTGGAGGGAACAAAGAGATGGCCCTGCCGCCTCAGCCGCGAGCGCGGGCTTTTAAACGTGGCTGTAGAGACCATCTTTAAGTTCTTGAAAAAGGCAGCGAGTGGGCAAAAAAGTGTTTCTTGGAACTTGGTTCAAAGTTCTAATAAATTGACCAACACACTTAGCCGCCCGTGTCCTAATCCTGTCCAATGAGGAGTGAGTACCATATGGTACCTCGCTGAACATTGACCGACACGGTCAGCCAATGGGGCCAAGTTGCATGGCTTAAAGCGGCGTTGGATCCTTGGCAAATTGCCCGCCTTTTTCCGCGTCAGAAACCACCAAAATCGGTGGTGCATTCGCCGTCTTTTTCTTAAAGGTAGTTTTCTTATTAATACTCTACGAGTCTAGCTAGATAAGACTAGACCTAATAATACCACGTTTTAGGGTAATAATTATTATAATAAATACCTTTACTTTTAAAAGATTCAAGGTTATTTTATAAGAAATATTTAACTTTAATATTAAGGGAGAAAGAAAAGAAAAAAGAAGATTTTTAATTAAGAGAAAAGAGAAGAGAAAAAAGAAGAGAAAATCTTTTTTATAGTTATTAACTCTTTTAGTATTAGTTAAAGTAAATTA